ATACATTTAGCTAGCTAAACCTGGTATTATACATTTAGCTAGCTAAACCTGGTATTATACATTTAGCTAGCTAAACCTGGTATTATACATTTAGCTAGCTAAACCTGGTATTATACATTTAGCTAGCTAAACCTGGTATTATACATTTAGCTAGCTAGCTAAACCTGGTATTATACATTTAGCTAGCTAAACCTGGTATTATACATTTAGCTAGCTAAACCTGGTATTATACATTTAGCTAGCTAAACCTGGTATTATACATTTAGCTAGCTAATCCTCCCACTTTTATGACAGTTGTTTATAGTTCCTATATATTGACAAAACTAGGTGAGCAACAAAAACAGACTATAGGACAATGTGACAATTATTGGGATCCGGCAGCTTAAACTATAAAATACATCTCATACATATATAGGCTGTACGGTTGTCATGAAATAGAAGTATCTGCATAGTATAAGTTCCAAGTAGAAGAATTATTCTGTAATATTCTTTCCATTGGACAGTGGTACAAATACTACAGAATGTGTTCCTAATGGAATAATTAAAGGGTATAGCATATTTGTTCTATCTGGAACAGATATAATGACATTGTTTATAACAAAGGTTCCAGGGGAACTTCTGTTAGGTGGAACAAATATACGTTGACACGGTGTCATGATAATTGCTTACTACCTCTTCATTTTAATTCTGGTGGACAATGGTGGATAGTTGTCTCATTGGCAATAATACCACATCTCCTCATTTTTATATATACAACACAATTGATTAAAGAAATCAAACATACAAAAAATAAATCTAACAAAGACGCCAACAAAAAAGTTATTGTAGTGGATTATGTTGATAGTAATTTGACAAAGACGCAAACAAAACAGTTATTGAAGTTCATAGTTAATTTGACAGAAGCCAACAAAAAATTGTTTGTAGTTAAAAGTACGAATTAAGTTAGATGTAAATACAACATATAAGGTAAACAAGATGAAACCTATTGCCTCCAAATTACACCTCTGGACCCACCTGCACCAGGAAGGCCCAAAGCCCAAAACCTGATAGCTGGATGCATAAATACCTAGTCACTTCAAGAGTCATACGACCAAAAGGAACATAATAGCACAAAGACAAATAAAGGGGATTTAACTGTAAAGTAAATAAATAAAAAAAACAACTTCAGCACCTAGACTCTTTGACTCAATATGAAAATAAGGAGATGTGGTATTATTGCCAATGAGACAACTATCCACCAAAGTTCAAATGAAGTGGATTACATACAAAGCAATTATAGGCAACCTTACAGCCTTCAACATTGAGAAAAACCCATACCGTATAGTCGGCTATAAAAGGCCCTGACATGAAAAATATGAAACAATTCAATTGAGAAAACTAACGACCTAATTTATAACAAAACAATTAATGAAAAACAAATATGACAGACATGAATTAACGACAACCACTGAACTACAGGCTCCTGACTTGGGACAGGCACATAAAGAATGTGGTGGTGTTAAACATGTTTGTGAGCGCTGACAACCCTCCCCCTAACCTGGGACAGTGGTGTAACCATTTTAATGTATTATTTGTGAAGTAGACAATGAATATTTATCTAATAGGTCTTGGTACTTTCGGATGAACTATTTGAGAAAAAGGACGAAACTTTCTTTGACAATACCCTGGCTCATTAAATTTTTGCTCAGACTCCAATGACATTTTACAAAGTCTGAGTACTTAGCAGCTGCAAGTTCTTGAATACTGAATGAGTTGAGAAATGTATACTTTATACACAGGTGAAGTTGGTATATTGCAGCTAACATGGCTAAGGTGAGGAAAATTTATAATTTCAAAATTGAAATCATCTTGTTTGTCATAGATTCTGGTACTGAGATGACTGCTGTAGTCAAACTCAAGGTAAATATCTAGAAATGAGGTAGAGGAAGCTGTGTCTGTGGTTTCTTTAATCTTTAGTTTAGGAGGATATTTTAATGGGACCAAATCAGAAAATTTGGGATTGTTATTATGGAAAGAACATCATCAATATGCCTGTATGTGAAATTAAATGATCTAGCTTCTTTGATCTTTTTGGTTTTTACAAGTGTCTGAAGGAACTCTGACTCATATGACAATAAGAAAAGGTCAGCCAGGAGAGGTGATGGTTCCCATATGAATGCTGAAAACCTGCTGGTCCAGGAAATTTCGACCTCCAAATTCATCAAATATGTTGTCAATGAGAAACTCTTGAAAGCATACTGATCACTCGTTCTATTATTTGTGTATTATTTGTTAATAAATTAATGCTTTAATAAGGGCGATTTGATGTAAAAAGTCAATAATTTTGATGACTTTTGAAGGCCAAAGTGAAACTTTCTATTGCTTTAAATAGGCTAATGCGAGATTAGAAAACTATGCCAATACAGGCATAAAGGTTTTTGTGATTAGAACTACCAAAAAGTATGGTTGACTATAGTTTGGTCGTATTACAGGTACATGAATTACAAGAAATAATCTTAAGATGTCATTTTCTCTTTATTCAATGTATATATAGCTAACACTTATTTTGATCTGGACTGGTCAAATGTTTTATGAATCTAATGCAATTTGGTGGGAAGAAGTTATTATTTCTTTAAGTCTTACTTGTCTACCTGTTGAAATGTTTCCTACATGTATTATGTCAGAATGTGAAATTTTAGTATGTAACAATATTTTTTGTGATCCAGCCATGCTGGGACTATGTGATCACAACAGATTATGATATGGTCATGATGGTTCAGGTTTAGGAGATGAAGATGATATCATGATTTTTTTTTAATTTTAGGTCATATATATTATGTACAATGAGGTCATAGGGACCTTGCTGCAATTAAATGTCCAGATAATATTTATCTGTTCATTTATCAATAAATGAACATGATTTTGAAAGGTTTGAATAAGTTTACTATTTTTGCAATTTCAGGTGCCACATATAATAGCTCTCATACCTCCTTCTATGATAAACTTTACAGATTATGTATTTTCATCCTTTGAAAAAGTTACCATTTTGAAGAGAAATATTGAAAATATTTTATGCAGGTCTATGCAAGGTAAAAATCATGTGGCTCTTTAACAGAAAATAAAATTGTTCAGTCTTAGTCATGTATGCTGTTATCATTCTAATTTAACCCAAATGGAAGCAGTGAGTAAATGAAATTAAAATATGACGCATCTGTCTGCTTTTTAAAACCAAAGTCAATTCTATACGCATGAAATCCATAAAGATTAGTATACCAGGAATAATTATAAATCCACAGCTAATGACACACAGAGAGTCAACATGGTTAAAATTATATAACTGGTAGAAGTGAAACCCCACAGAGTCAATGCGAAATTGATATTAATAATTATCAATTTGTATATAGTGTGAAAGAATTTTTTTTTAAAGTTTGACATTTTACAACTTAAATGTTGCACTCATGCATGAGATTTTTTATATGAAATGATTTACACTAAGACTTTCATACTAAAGCAAGGGATGGATTGTAACATGTCCTTAAATTGTTAGACCAGGTAAACTTTCCACATCAACAAGGTGTTTTAAGACAAGAATAAGATATTTCCCTGACAGCTAGGACCATCTATATTATACTTATGAGGTTCATCCTTATTTGAGTTTGTGATGTGTCAGTCAGGTAAAGGTATGATAACTAACTGCAACACACGTACATCACATGTAAACATTTTTTTCTAACAAAAATGTGTTCTCATTCACTGGTTGTATTAGGAAAAAATGTTAGGCAGACAACAATCAATCCATCAATCAATGTGTTTTCATGTATGCATTTAAATATAAACCTCATTGACTGAACCGAAATCTATCATACCTACTTTCATATTGTCAACATTTATGCCCAGCATCTAAATTGTAAAAACAAAATACTCTAGTAGTAATATAATTATCACAAATCAGGAGGCAACGACAAAATCTGGATAATGATCAGACTATGGTAAACACCACAAAACACAAACGAAAAAAAATTAGTAATCTGAAATCAATTAAAAAAACATGTGTTATACTGCATAGACTACCAAATTCCCTAAATACATGTTGCTTCGACTTATTTCAAAAATATTGTTGATTTCAGTCAATTCAATTGCTATGGCAAAGAGAAAGTATATTTGTGTTTAGGGAATTTCCCAATTTCCCCTAATTTTCATGTCCAAAGATGCCTACCCTTAAGTTTTTATTGGCGATTTTTGTAGTGAACTTTTTGTAGACGTCTTAAACTTGCAGTGAGCTAGGTGAGAGTTTTTTTTGCTCAATGTTGAAGGCCACATTGTGACCTTGAGATGAAGAACAGCAACAAAAGCGCTGTTCCTTTGCTTTTTGTTTGTTTTTTGCTGTGTATGTACTGATTTTGTGTCATGGATGGATACCCCATATCCTTTGTTTTTCCATTTGTCAAAATTGAAGGTTAACCATACATACTCAAGTTAGAAAATTCAGCTAACTAAAAAAGGATAACTACCAGCCAAGTTTGATTAAATTCTATAAGTATAAAATGGTTCAATGAACATTATTAAATTTTATGTATAAAATTAACTAGCAACAGATGGATAGTGGCCAGGTGAGCTAAAACAATGTAAATCCCTTCAAGAGTTATTTATTTTTTTTTAATCTCCCATTTTTTTATTTTTTTTCTGACAAGAAGTGAATTGTCATAATCAGTCTGTTTGTCAAAGTAACTACCAAATTTATATCCTTGACATAAAGTTTGATGAAACTAAAATGAAAAAACCAGATAAATATTTTTTGGCTTATAAGGTTTAGTCTTTATCATAATAATCATTATCTTAACATCTAATGTCAAGGCAATTTGGCCTGATGAGGTGAAAATCTTGGTTAAAAATTATATAATGAGTCTAATCTAGGACAGGAGTATTGACTCTTCTATGTAGTTTTTATCCATTATCATTTTCTGACCTCAGGTATATATTATAAAAGTTTATGTATCCTCATTTGTTTGTTTACATTTCAGATATTAAATAGTTACGTCCCAGATGATGACCCAGGTGATATGGGTAGACAGCAAAGATATGCATTAGATAAAGTTATTTTGTTAACATAATCAGTGTAATATCTGGTATCACTCCTGACAAACTGGATTGTAATAAGATTTTAAAAATGACTTGAACAGATTGAGCAACAAGTATGTCTTTAATTCGTTATTTAAAAGTTCCCTTACACAAACGCTGTACAAGTGATGCCTTCTACAGAGCTTTCCACAGAAGTTGTACAACTGCCAACAATAATGAGGCATCAAAAACATTGAAGACAATTGTTGATTTGCCAAAGCATGCTCGTGTAGTGATATGCGGTGGGGGTGTAACTGGGTCATCTATAGCTTACCATCTAGCAGAGAGAGGATGGAATGATGTTGTGTTGTTGGAGCAGGGGAAGTAAGTAACCTACAATGGGTAGGGGTTTAACATAACATTGGTTGCAGGGGTGTAACCGGGACATCTATTGCTTACCATCTAACAAACATTATGTTAAGATATTGTTTTGCTGGAGCAGTGGAAGTAAGTAACCTACAATGTATAGGGGTTAAACATAACATTTGTGGCAGGGGTGTAACTGGGACATCTATAGCTTACCATCTAGCAGAGAGAGGATGGAATGATGTTGTGTTGTTGGAGCAGGGGAAGTAAGTAACCTACAATGGGTAGGGGTTTAACATAACATTGGTTGCAGGGGTGTAACTGGGACATCTATAGCTTACCATCAAGCAGAGAAAGGGTGAAATGATGTTGTGTTGTTGGAGCAGTGGAAGTAAGTAACCTACAATGGGTAGGGGTTTAACATAGCATTGGTGGCAGGGGTGTAACTGGGACATCTATAGCTTACCATCAAGCAGAGAAAGGGTGAAATGATGTTGTGTTGTTGGAGCAGGGGAAGTAAGTAACCTACAATGGGTATGGGTTTAACATAACATTGGTGGCAGGGGTGTAACTGGGACATCTATAGCTTACCATCTAGCAGAGAGAGGATGGAATGATGTTGTGTTGTTGGAGCAGTGGAAGTAAGTAACCTACAATGGGTATGGGTTTAACATAACATTGGTGGCTGGGGTGTAACTGGGACATCTATAGCTGACCATCTAACAAAGATTATGTTAAGATATTGTTTTGTTGGAGCAGTGGAATTAAGTAACCTACAATGGGTAGGGGTTTAACATAACATTGGTGGCAGGGGTGTAACTGGGACATCTATAGCTTACCATCTAGCAGAGAGAGGGTGGAATGATGTTGTATTGTTGGAGCAGTGGAAGTAAGTAACCTACAATGGGTAGGGGTTTAACATAACACACCTATAGCTTACTGTCTAACGAAGAGTATGTTAGGATGTTGTTTTGTTGGAGCAGTGGAAATAAGTAACCTACAATGGGTAGGGGTTTCACATAACATTGGTGGCAGTGGTATAACTGGGACATTTATAGCTTACCATCAAGCAGAGAGAGGGTGAAATGATGTTGTTTTGTTGGAGCAGTGGAAATAAGTAACCTACAATGGGTAGGGGTTTCACATAACATTGGTGGTAGGGGTGTAACTGGGACATCTATAGCTTACCATTTAGCAGAGAGAGGGTGAAATGATGTTTTACTGTTGGAGCAGTGGAAGTAAGTAACCTACAATGGGTAGCTATAGGGGTTTTGATGTAACATTCATGGTAGAGGTGTAACTGGGACATATATAGCTTACCTTCTAGCAGAGAGAGGGTGAAATGATGTTTTACTGTTGGAGCAGGGGAAGTAAGTAATCTATAATCATGATAATGAGTAGCTATAGGGGTTTAACATAACATTGGTGGCAGGGTTGTAAATGGGACATCTATAGCTTGCTGTCTAGCAGAGAGAAAGCGTGAAATGATGTTGTACTGTTGGAGCAGGGGAAGTAAGTAATCTATAATGAGTAGCTATAGGGATTTAACATAACATTTGTGACAGGGGTTTAAATGGGACATCTATAGCTTACTGTCTAGCAGAGAGAGGAGGAAATGATGTTGTATTGCTACATCAGGGGAAGTAAATAACCTACAACAGAAGTGAATGAGTGATAAACTACTGTTATATTAAAACTCTCTTTAACTTTGAAGAGGAAACATTTTCTTGGTATGCTTAGTTCTGATAATTAAGAGAAAAAAAACTTTAAAAATCAGTAAGATCAGACCAATTAAGTCTGAAAATCAACTTCTTGAATTTAACATAACCACGATAACTGCCAAAATCATTTAAAAAATGATGAACATGGTAAAATGTGTAGAAAAGGTTTTCTTTGTAACTCTTGCTTTTGTAGATATACATGTGGAACAACATGGCATTCTGTTGGTTTGATTGGTCAATTGAGAGATGATGTCCCTTCAGCAAGATTAGTCAAATATAGTGCTGAACTGTACAGATCATTAGAAAAGGCAGGACATGGCATTGGTCAGTAAAGTACATAGGTCATTGGAAAAGTCCAAACATAGCATTGGCCATTATTACATTTGTATAGGTCATTAGAAAAGTAAAAACATGACATTTGCCAGTATTACATCTACATTGGTCATTGGAAAATTCAGAAAATAGAACTAAAAGTCAATACTGTGGATTCATTTATTTTCGTGGGTATCAATTTTCGTGGATAGAGAAAAAAAGACCTTTCGTGGTATACGTAAATTCGTGGATCGCTGATAACAAAAAAAAAATCAGCTACGTAAATCGTGGATTTCTTTTTGATTTTGGAGATCATATAACCTCCTTTGTTTGATCAATAATAAAACCAATAAAAAGAAGGAATTCATTGAACAAGTTTTGAATTGTCAAAATCCTCGCTTGGTCATTCTAGGTTAAAGTGTTCATTGAAAACTTCTATTACAATAATGGACAGAGACAACTAATTATTTGTTTGTTTTACAATTTAAAGATTCTTGTCGGAATTTCATAAGGCATTCAAAATTCTATGATTGAAAGCTCAGTTTCCTAATCACGATGTAATAAACAGTCATATAAGTAAAAGGTGTGAAAATAAATGTTCCTGTCATAAACAATATTACCTACGGGCAATAACCCCGGACTTAATCCTATTGATTTTTAATCACCAGTAAACCAAACTATGACACGGTAATTAACAACTTGCAGTTATTTTCCATGAACAGTTTTAATCAATTTTAAAAAGTAAATTATCACTGATATTCGTTATATTAATTGTTGATTTAATCAAAATACTTGTATCTTCTTTCAATAAAAACACGTGTTATGTTACAATGTTTATCGCTAATCAACACTATACTAGAACTGCATAACATAACCGGAAATAAACATCCGACTCCATACACATTTCTCGGGATTATTCTTCGTTGAATTCTTAAATTCGTGGTTCGCTGTGACCCACGAAACCCACGAAAATTGGTAAACCACGAATAAAAATGAATCCACAGTATCATGAATATAAGTATAAAAATAAGGTTGGGATGTGGAAATTGCAATGACATTTTTATAAGTAAATAATTTTATTAAACACTGTTAAATGAAAAATATTTTCTCTATAGTATGAATAAATATAGTACTGATATCAAAGGAGATAATGATGCAATCTAATTTGTACACAACTAAAATTATCTCCCTTTTAATGATAACCACAGCTTAAATTATCTCCCTTTAATAATACTCACAACTAAGAGTATCTCCCTTTAGGTGTAACATCACTTTTTCAGGCCCAGTCTGAAAGAACATACGAAAGTAGTACATATTTAAGACAAAATAGTACCTACGCATGAATGTAACTTTCAAAATATGTAGAATATTTTGGTAATTATACGATTTTTTTGCGGTCGTTTATTGGTATGACGTTTGCGTCGTCGTTGTCGTCGTCGTCCGAAGACACATTTGATTTTCGCACTCTAACTTTAGTTTAAGTGAATGGAATTCTATGAAAGTTAACCATAAGGTTCAATACCACAAAAGGAAGGTTTGGATTGATTTTGGGGGTTGTGGTACCAACAGTTAAGGAATTAGGGGCCAAAAAGGGGCAAAAAATAAGCATTTTTGTAACTTCCAGACATAACTTGTGTGTTAGTGTATGGATCTCTCTGACATTGTACCACAAGGTTCCATATCACAAAGAGAAAGCTGGGATTGATTGTGGGGGTCATTGTCTCAAAATTTTAGGAATTAGGGGCCAAAAAAGGGACAAAAAAACAAGCATTTTTCTAGTTTCATGACAATAACTTGTGTGTAAGTGTATAGATCTTTATGAAATTGTACTACAAGGTTCCATATCACAAAGGGAAAGCTGGAATTGAGTTTGGGGGTAATTGCTTAAAACGTTTAGGAATAAGGGGCCAAAAAGGGGCAAAAAAAAGCATTTTTCTAGTTTCCAGACAATAACTTGTGTTCAAGTGTATGGATCTCTCTGAAATTGTACTACAAGGTACCATACCACAAAGGGAAGGCAGGGATTGATTTTGGGGGTAATTGCCTCAAAATTTTAGGAATTAGGGACCAAAAAGGGGCAAAAAAACAAGCATTTTTCTAGTTTCAGGACAATAACTTGTGTGTTAGTGTATGGATCTTTATGAAATTGTACTACAAGGTTCCATATCACAAAGGGAAGGCTGGGTTTGAGTTTGGGGGTAATTGCCCTAAACGTTTAGGAATTTGGGGCCAAAAAACAAGCATTTTTCTAGTTTCCAGACAATAACTTGTGTTCAAGTGTATGGATCTCTCTGAAATTGTACTGCAAGGTACCATACCACAAAGGGAAGGCTGGGATTGAGTTTGGGGTGATGAATCATAAGGGGGTTCAAAAAATTTTGGGGGGGGGGATTTTTTTTCCCCTTTTTTTACTTTAAAATTTTCCATTTTAAATTGGTTATTTCTGATTTATATATAAAAGCAAATAATAATAATATGGTTTGAATAGGTAAATTAAAATTTTTTAAGTTCTTAGACCACATTCATTCTGTGTCAGAAACCTATGCTGTGTCAAATATTTAATCACAATCCAAATTCAGTGCTGTATCAAGCTTGAATGTTGTGTCCATACTTGCCCCAACTGTTCATGGTTCGACCTCTGCGGTCATATCAAGCTGCGCCCAAATCATGAAAGCATAATGACTGATGATCTTGGTAGAACCATTATTGACTTTACAATTTTGATGATTAAAAAAAAGTATGAAATTTTAAAAGGAGGGTACTTTTTTCATGTTTCACAGATCTGAAGTACCTGTTTTAGTACTTCCCAAGTTCTAGGAACCAGTACTCTCTTATATGCAATTAAAAGTACGTTGATTTTTTCAGTACAAGACACCATAAGGTGACATGCAATGACTGTCAATTTATTTGAACTTGAGACAAAAGAGTGTGACTGCTTGAAACTGAGGAATTTAACATAGAAAGCAATGGGGCGATGAATTAGTGATGTTCCTTCTTTAATGATACATGCAACTAAAATTATCTCTCTTTAATGATACACACACACACACACACATCTAAAATTATCTCCCTTTAACGATATACACACACACACACACACACACATCTAAAATTATCTCCCTTTATTTTATATGCACAACCAATATTATCTCCCTTTACCGAAATGCACAGCTAAAATTATCCCCTTTTAATATCATGATTTCAAGATTTTTTATGAAATATTCACTCCTCTTAAAAAGAAATTTCAGTTTTCTTTTCAGAGCACATAACATATTATTATGTGATAATAACCTTTTAAACCATATTTAGAATTGATAAAACCTTGGATAAAACCAGATGTTTGTTGTTAATATTGATCCTTATCTAGGGGATTCAAGGAACAGGGGATGACATAGAGAACCAAATGACAATGACCCCCCTATGGTTAAAAAATTGTTTTTTTTACATTTTTCTAATGTTTGACTCAATGCAGCAAAAAGTTTGGTATGTACCCCTTGATTTATTGTGTAAAACAGTCAATTGATATAAAAAAGAAGATGTGGTATGATTGCCAATGAGACAACTCTCCACAAGAGACCAAATGACACAGAAATTAACAACTATAGGTCACCGTATGGTTTCAAAAACAATGAGCAAAGCCCATACCGCACAGTCAGCTATAAAAGGCCCCGAAATGACAATGAAAAACAATTCAAACGAGAAAACTAACGGCCTAATTTATGTACAAAAAATGAACGAAAAACAAATATGTAACACATAAACAAACGACAACCACTGAATTACAGGCTACTGACTTGGGACAGGCACATACATACATACATGGCGGGGTTAAACATGTTAGCAGGATCCCAACCCTCCCCTAACCTGGGACAGTGGTGTAATAGTACAACATAAGAACGAACTATAAAAATCAATTGAAAGAGGCTTAACTCATCAGATGGATAAAAATACAAATACTACAAATACAAGTGGACGTGGCAGGGTACTTGTACATATGTATATTTATATACTTGGTTAATTAGTATGTAAAACAGTCAATTGATGGACAAGAGATGTTTTATTATTGTGTAGAACAGTCAATTGATGGATATTTATATAGTTGGTTTATAATTGAGTAATTGAGTAGAACAGTCAATTGATGGATATTTATATACTTGGTTTATAATTGAGTAATTGAGTAGAACAGTCAATTGATGGATATTTATATACTTGGTTTATAATTGAGTAGAACAGTCAATTGATGGATATGTATATACTTGGTTTATAATTGAATAGAACAGTAAATTGATGGATATTTATATACTTGGTTTATAATTGAGTAGAACAGTCAATTGATGGATATTTATATACTTGGTTTATAATTGAGTAGAACAGTCAATTGATGGATATTTATATACTTGGTTTATAATTGAGTAGAACAGTCAATTGATAGATATTTATATACTTGGTTTATAAAAGCAGTGTGGCAGTATTAACATTGCTCAGTTTGTATACATTTTAGATTCGAAGCAGTGTTGCAGTATTAACATTGCTCACTTTATACATTGTAGGTTGGAAGCAGTGTGGCAATATTAACATTGTTCAGTTTATACATTTTAGGTTGGAAGCAGTGTGGTAGTATTAACATTGCTCAGACTAAAGATAGAGTCAACTTGTTACAGAGAAAGCATGCTGTAGCTGTGTAAGTAAACCTGTCAATTAGGGGCACTGACATGCTGTAACTGTGTAAGTATACCTGTCAATTAGGGACACTAACATGCTGTAACTGAGTAGGAATACCTGTCAATTAGGTACACTGACATGCTTTAACTGTATGAGAATACCTGTCAATTAGGGACACTGACCAGCTGTCACAGTGTGAACATGCCTGTCAATAAGGGATACTGACATGTTGTAGCAGTGTAATATAAAATAAGGAGATATGGTATGATTGCCAATGAGACAAATGAGACCAAATGGTGTAGATGGTAGTAACTATAGGTCTCCTTACAGCCTTCAAAAATGAGCAAAACCAATACTGCAAAGCAAGCTACAAAAGGCCCAGACATAACAAAATGTAAAACAATTCAAATGAGAAAACCAGCAGCCTGATTTATGTACAAAACAACAAACAAAAAACAACTATTAAATAACTTGGGGATGGGTACATACAGAATGTTGTGGGGTTAAACAACTGAGCAGGCACTTAACCTGGAACATTGGTGCTACAGCACAACACAGAACAAACTGTACAAAATAATAAAGGAAAATAAATATGATAAACAGCTACAAATGACAAGCACATATAGATTGTGGAGGGGTTAAAGATGTTTGTAGTCAAAACCTTCCCCTAACCTGGAACAGTGGTGTAATAGCACAACATAAGAACAAACCATAAGAATCAGTTGAAAAGGGCTTGGATCAATAGATACAAAGCAAAACAAAAATGCTTACAAAAACACTGAAGACACATGGTATTGATCTGAGAGTACTCAAAGTTACTGAAAGCTAGTTACAAGCCAATAACAACTAATAAACTAATCATGTTTCCAAGATAAAATATCAATCAGAACACCTCCAATGGGTTCAGTGTAAAGATAAGATAAACAATCTAAGAAAATATGACTATGTGCAATGCCAAAATATAAGTATCGACTGGATGTAGAATAGGTTATTAACTATATAGCAATACATATTCAGTTAAGTTTTATTTATTGAAAAGAAAATCAATATTAGTACCAATAAAACAATATATAAAGATCTAATGACAATGTTAAATGGTAAAGCTGTAGGTTATATAGTGTTTTGGTCTGTCTGTTGTTATTGGTAGGCATAATAGTTATCAATATCTTTATACTGAGTGTTAAAGAGGTGTAAAATATTGACAAATATAATGCCTACCCATGTTGAAATTAACATAGAGCATAGAAAAAATTACTATAATTTTAATAGGAAAACAATTTTCGAGAGAAGAGGACCTTAAAGCCATGTTATAAAAGCTGCTATTATGATTTCATGATTTCAATCAAATAAAAACATAAGTCTTGCTTTTTAAGAGGTTTAATTGAAATTCATTGCAAGCTAATCACACAGAAATTTTAATTTTAATCTCAGATCAAAATAAAACTGATGGTGCAAATTGAAATGTAACCTCAAACACTTGTACCCCATGTTTTATTGTGCCCACGCAATGTGTCCATCTGTCCATCCATCTAAGCTTGTGAGTGTTCTCACCTGTACAATTCTTGCCAGATTTTTATTAAATTGTATCAAAGGTTTATATCAGCAATGTGTTGGTCAATTTTGAAAATCAGTACCAATCAACTATTTTCAATAGAGTTATGCCCCTTTGAAATATTAGTTATATGGAAAATTGAATTGTAATTGCCCTCAAGCCTACATTTCTCTAAAATATAATATTTACAACATTGGAACCCTGTTCTTTTAGTGTTTCTAGAACATGGCTTTGTTTACAAAGGGTAGAGTCAATTTATAATCTTATGGCATTCAAAGCTTTGTTTATGGAGACTATTTGACAAATGATATTGTTGTTTGTTTCAAAAGATGTGAATTACAAGTAGCTCAAACACTGATTATTACTATATAAGTTTTATTGTCTAATATTGTTATACACTGTTGGAGCAATTCCATACTTTTTCCGACAAATTTTAAAGAAATTTATTAAACAATATTGTCATCAGACCAAAAATTTATCATTATAGTTTTTATACGACCGCAAAAAAATTTTGTGGTCGTATATTGGTATGACGTTGGCGTCGTCGTCGTCGTTGTCGTCGTCGTCGTCGTCCGGCGTCGTCGTCCGAATACATATTGGTTTTCGCACTCTAACTTTAGTTTAAGTGAATGGATCTTTTTGAAATTTGACCATAAAGTTAAATACCACAAAAGGAAGGTTGGGATTGATTTTGGGGGTTATGGTACCAACAGTTAAGGAATTAGGGGCCAAAAAGGGGCCAAAAATGAGCATTTTCTAGTTTCCAGACAATAACTGTGGAACGGTGTATGGATCTCTCTGAAATTATACAAGTTTCCATACCACAAAGGGATGGTTAGGATTTGCTTTGGGGGGTTATGGCTCAAACCGTTTAGGAATTACGGGCAAAAAAGGGGGAAAAACAAGGTTGTCCTGGTAAATGGACAAATACTTTAGTACAAAACATAATTTAAAGCAGTGTAAGGGAGATAAATCAAATACATCATTGAAATTATCTCCCTTACACTGCTTTTAAATTATGTATAAAGTAATGGTTAATGAACAATAAAGATAATCTAAAACAGTGTAAGGGAGGTAATCCAAATACAACGTTTTGGTTACTTCCCTTACACTGCTTTTAAATTATGTTTAAAGAAATGCATATTTATAAAGGAAGACCAGTAAAAATATCTGCAAATGTTTTCATCTTTTTTTTTTACAAAAAAATCCATATGAAAGATTTGACACTATATTTTTATTATAAAATAGATTAAGTTAGCACTATGGTAAATTTAAATGGGTAATTATGGTTGCCAACTCCATTGGAAATTTGAATTGAGATTATGACCATATCTTGAGGGAAAGAATTTTTTTGGGGGAATAAGGGGGGGGGGATAAAAAGAAATTGTGGGGGGCCAATTTTTTCTCATTTCAGATTTCAGAAATTAAAAAGAATTATTCTTCAAATATTATTTTTTTTTCAAATTTCAAATATTGAAAAATTTCAAGAAGTAATCTTTAATTGCACAGTATGGCGCATTAGATTTGTAAAATCTTTGATCACATTTATTTATTTGTTATGCCGAATCTAACAGTGTATTTAGATTTTTAATTTTGGGTCCAGTTTTCAAATTGGTCTACATTAATGTCCAAAGGGTCCAAAATTAAACTTTGTTTGATTTTAGCAAAAATTGAATATATGAGGTTCTTTGATATGCTGAATCTAAACATGTATTTAGATTTTTGATTTTTGGCCCAGTTTTCAAGTTGGTCCAAATAGGGGTCCAGTATTTAAACTTTGTTTGATTTCAACAAAAATTGAATATATGGGGTTCTTTGATATGCTGAATCTAAACATGTATTTAGATTTTTGATTATGGGCCCAGTTTTCAAGTTGGTCCAAATTGGGGTCCAAAATTAAACTTTGTTTGATTTCAACAAAAATTGAATATATGAGGTTCTTTGATATGCTGAATCTAACCATGTATTTAGATTTTTTATTTGTAGGCCCCGCTATCAAATTGGTTCATATTGAGGTCAAAAGGGTCCAAAATTAAACTTTGTTTGATTTCATCGAAAATTGAATTATTGGGGTTCTTTGATATGCCAAATCTAACCGTGTTTTTAGATTTTTAATTTGGGTTCCGTTTTTTAAATTGGTCTTCATTGAGGTCCAAAGGGTCCAAAATTAAACTTAGTTTGATTTTAACAAAAATTGAATTCTTGGGGTTCTTTGATATGCTGAATCTAAACATGTGTTTAGATTTTTGATTATGGGCCCAGTTTTCAAGTTGGTCCAAGTTGGGGTCCAAAATTAAACTTTTTTTGATTTCAACAAAAATTGAATATATGGGGTTATTTGATATGCTGAATCTAACCATGAATTTAGATTTTTTATTTGTGGGCCCCGCTATCAAATTGGTTCATATTGAGGTCAAAAGGGTCAAAAATTAAACTTTGTTTGATTTCATCAAAAATTGAATTATTGGGGTTCTTTGATATTCCAAATCTAACCATGTATTTAGATTTTTAATTTTAAGTCCCGTTTTTTAAATTGGTCTACATTAAGGTCCAAAGGGTCCAAAATTAAACTTAGTTTGATTTTAGCAAAAATTGAATTCTTGGGGTTCTTTGATATGCTGAATCTAAACATGTGTTTAGATTTTTGATTATGGGCCCAGTTTTCAAGTTTGTCCAAGTTGGGGTCCAAAATTAAACTTTGTTTGATTTTAACAAAAATTGAATATATGGGGTTCTTTGATATGCTGAATCTAACCATGTATTTTGATTTTGGACATTGGACCATAATAGGTAAATTAAAAAAATTCAAGTTCTTAGACCACATTCTTTCTGTGTCAGAAACCTATGCTGTGTCAAATATTTAACAACAATCCAAATTCAGAGCTGTATCAAGCTTGAATGTTGTGTCCATACTTGCCCCAACTGTTCAGGGTTCGACCTCTGCGGTCGTATCAAGCTGCGCCCCAGCGAAGCATTTTATTTGGATTTTAGCTTATACCAACCTTATTTTTTTTTTAATTATTCAATTATACTTCTAAACTTAGGTACTGTTTTTTTAAGACTCATCTGAATATGAAATATGAAATAAAATGATGTAAAGTAGAATTTGTTTGTTACCATGGTTACCATGATATGATATGTACTTCCCAAATAATCCCTTAGAATGAATTCTCTTTTCACTGCTTTGCCAATTTTTGTAAAAGTCAATAATTGATTCTTCTATCACATGCTGATTATGCTCCATTCAGAAAAAGGACTTGTTAATTATTGAATTGAATACCAGCAAAAATCTTTGAACAATAATGCACCACAACTTACTTAATTTAGTAAGACTGGACTAAAACAATTAGAAAATATATTTCCAAACAACAACACCATGATATACCCGTAAATAAGATTAAAGCTGTTTAATTTTCTATTGGACACTTAATTCCTTCAGCATCAGAAATCAATTAATTTATCGGTAGACAGTGGAAATATAAAAAATAGACATATTAATATGTAATGATTTTGCATGTGTGTTCTTCTTTATTGTAAATTCTAGAATTTTGGCCAAAAATACCTCCTTATTTGTGCTAATAGCAATATTTTATTGTAGTGTTTATATATTTAAGTGCAAATATTAAAATTTTTCTATTTTAGTGCTACTGGTATTGAAGCCCACTTTATTGGACCAAAAGAAATAGAGAGATTAGCACCTGTTCTTAAAACAGATGATATTGAGGTATAAAGCATATAAGTTTTGAAAGAGCAGGTGATTATTTATAATGTTAGAGCTTTATTTATAGTATGTTAGTGGGAATACCAGGGGATGTAGGTTATATTGATGTAAAATAACAGATGCTGCATCAGAAATAAATACATACTGCAACACACAAATAAAATTTGCAACTTGATTTCAAAGTTATCATGAATATATTGGAATAATAACTGAGAAACTAATGAGAAATGCATGGTTATTTCATTTGTCTTAGTTTTACAGAAAACTCGCCAGTGAGGAGACAAGGTCTTGTAACCATTAGACTCTTTCTGCCCATCAAAACTCATGTTGGGTATTTCAACCTTGTAGTTCTGTGAGTTTTAACCAAATAAAGTTGCATTATCAAAACACAAATGATTTATTTTTTAGGCAGCCTTATATGTTCCATCAGACGGAGTAGTAGCTCCTTCAGACTTAGCATCAACGTATGTCAGACTAGCCAAAGACAGAGGTAATCTATCACTGATAAAATTCCTCCTAACATAGGACAACCTACCACCATAAAATTTGCAACAACTTCTGTCAAACTAGCCAAAGACAGAGGTTATCTAGTATCTATAAAGTTCCTCCTAAAATGGGACAACCTCCAACCATATTCAATGTAACAACTTATGTCACACTAACCAAAGAAAGTGGTAATCTTTTACTGAAAAACATCCTCCAAACATAGGACAACCTCCCACCATATACATTGTAACAAGTTCAGTAAGTTGAATAATGTGAAGTGATACCATATGTTGATTAAACCTGTTTAGTAAAGAGCTACAGTTGGAACATGTTTTTAACTTTTTTGATTCGAGCGTCACTGATGATTTTTTTTGTAGACGAAACACTGAAAATTTTTGTCCTGGTATCTATGATGAGTTTATTTACAAACACTGGGTTGATGCCACTGCTGGTTGAGGTTTCTCCCAAAGGGTATCATCAACACAGAAGTCAGCACTTCTGTGTTGACATGAATTATCATTGATATGGTCATAATTATAAATTAACTGTTTATAAAACTTTGAATTTCAAAATACTAAGGATTTTCTATCCCAGGAATAGATAACCTTAGCTGTACATGTATTTGACAAAACCTTTCGTAATTTTTGTTCCTCAGTGCTCCTCAATTTTGTATTTATCTGTGTTTTTAAACTTTTTTGATTCAAGGGTCGATGTTGAGTCTTAGTGTAGACGAAACGGGCATCTGGCATGCAAAATTTTGTCCTGGTATCTATGATGAGTTTATTTGGCTTATATGGCAATGGTTTAAGATTGCCTTCAGAAACTTGTTAAAAATTTCTACTTAAATTACTGGCTAATTTGGAACCAAGCCATACCTTCATACCTTGTATGGAGATACCTTATGTTTCTATCTGTCATATGTCCATTGTCCATGACCTCATTGTCATGGTTCAGCGACTGCTTAATGGCAAATTTTAAGTTTTTGTGTTTTGACCAGTTTTTCAAATACTATAAGCAGTAGGTCAACTGTATTTGGTATATGGAATGATTGTAAGGTGCACATGTTTGTCTGGTAGGTAACATCTGACCTTGACCTCATTTTCATGGATCATTGGTCAATGTTAAGTTTTTTTGTTTTTGTTTTTGTTTTTCAATTACCATAAGCAATAGGTCAACTATATTTGGTGTATGGAATAATTGTAAGGTGGTTATGTCTGTTTGACAGGATCTATCTAACCTTGACTTCATTGTTTATGTGATACTTGTAGTAAAACCTTTATATTTAAGACTTTCAACATAAAATCAATGGTCAGTAAAACAGGCTAGACATTTCAGCATGTGCACTCTTGTTAAAAGTAAAATTTAAGAAAAGATTTTGAAATAAACCTATAATGATGTTCCGCTTTGTGAATTATTTCTTATTGCTATGTATCTTAAGGCTGACATTTTTTGTTCAATATATTTGATATTTCCTGTTTAATTTAGGAGTGAAAATGTTTGAAGGAGTACAGGTTGAAAAGATCCTAACTCACAATGGCAATGTACATGCTGTACAGACAAGTCTTGGAACTATTAACTGTGAATACTTTGTTAACTGTGGAGGTCTGGTAGGTATAAAATATCTTACAATTGTTTTACTCACTATCAGCAATCAAAAGATGATTAAGTTGAAAGCTTAGTTTGATAAATGGTAATATGAATGGAACACACACCAATCTAGACACATAATATTGTAAATTCAGAAATTTGTGCGATTTTTTAATTAAGCCAAAAATGCCCCCAAACCCTCCTAGCAGTTTCAGATCACTTCGAGATCCTAGTTACGCAGACTATTTTTTTGGTCTAGTTAATATCAATTCAGGCTAGTGTTTTTTTTTATTCAACTAGCCCTCTGGGCTAGTGCTTCAAAAAGTTTTTGGCACAGACTGCAAACTTGCAAGGATTCTTCTCCAGAGCATGAAGCTGTGTATCTGAGGAATTTTGTGTTTTCCAAACAATGACATGGACTGCTTTTTCTGCTTATGTCAGTTTGTTAATCCACAACTTTTAGAAACAGTTTGACAGAGTCCAACCAAACTTGCATTGATTTATCAAAATGATATAAAACTACCGGTATGCACTTGCTATTTAATTTTTCATGTTAATGATTTTTTGGATTTTTTCTCACCAAAACATGGATTTAGCCATTTATTTCTGCTTACATTTTTATAATACAAAATAGTTTTTATGCCCTGCTGTGGCACAGGAGGCATTAAGTGTTACCCTTGTCCATCCGTACATACGTCCTGAAATTCTCTAACGTCAGTTTGCCTTGACCAAATGTTATACACAATGCTAATAACCACCAAACACAGATCAAGTTCAAAGGACAAGGTTCACCTTAGGCCAAATATGGCCTTGAATTTCAACTTTATCATAAAGTTTCAAAATGGCCATAATTTGGTTCTTATATGGATCTATTTCAAAAGATTTACTCCTTTGCTAATAGAAATCTCGTCATAAGAGTACATTTTTGGCTTCAAAATCAACACATTTTTGATATATTGTCAAAATACAATGATTTTGTGCATTTTTCTGACCTAAAAGCTTGAGGAATCCCTTGGCCGCAACCTAGGATCCTCAATGTTCTGTAACCAAGAGTTACCAATTATGATATTGAATCCCTAGGCCATACCTATCAACTGACCCGTATCCTGACGGTCACACCCGAGAATTTCACCCCATTATGGGATTTTTAAAAGTCGGGTCGTTAATTAACCTGGGAATTCAGAGAAAGAACCTTTTTCACCAAGATTCTTGAGCCTTTAGACTGATTTCATATGTGATTCTCCTTTGAAATACTGGCAACTTTGAATTCGTCCTGGACTGTAGTTCAACTAGCTGTGTTAACTGTAAAATTAAGTGACCCATTAAGTGCATGGCTTCACTTGATAGCTTTGGTGTCCAACACACTGTTAATCAACACCAGTTACCTTAGCTTAAGGTCATAAATAATTTGTCTATTTCAAAGTTGTTTGACAATAAATTTGAGTTACTTCCCCTTTTTTGTAACCTTTCACAATATATTCCTTAATTTTATGGGTTTTTTTTGTAAAAAGATTAAATCTAAAACAAATTGAATGCAAATACGAATCAGAATATTATTTTTAGCTCACCTGGCCCAAAGGGCCAAGTGAGCTTTTCTCATCACTTGGCGTCCGTCGTCGTTAACTTTTACAAAAGTCTTCTCTGAAACTACTGGGCTAAATTTAACCAAACTTGGCCACAATCATCATAAGAGTATCTAGTTTAAAAAATGTGTCCGATGACACTGCCTGCCAACCAAGATGGCCGACATGGCTAAAAATAGAACATAGGGGTAAAATGCAGTTTTTGGCTTATATCTCTGAAACTAAAGCATTAAGAGCGAATCTGATATGGGGTAAAAATGTTCATCAGGTTAGGATCTATCTGCCCTGAATTTTTAGACGAATAAGATGACCAGTTGTTGGATTGCTGCCCCTGAATTGGTAATTACAAGAAAATTTTGCAGTTTTTGGTTATTATCTTGAATATTATTGTAGATAGAGATAAACTGTAAACATCAATAATGTTCAGCAAAGTAAGATCTACAAATAAGTCAACATGACCAAAATTTGCAATTTACCCCTTAAGGAGTTATTGTCCTTTATAGTAAATTTTTAACAATTTTCTTAAATTTTTGCTATCTTTTACAAATGGTATGAAACTTATAAGCAATGCTTATTACCACGAAACACAGATCCAATTAGGGTGGTGTCACTTTCACTGTTCTCGAGGTACCCCATTACTGTTTGTTATTGAAATAATGAGAGCACCCAAACCCCAGAGCAGAGTAATCTCAAATGGCAACATACAGAAACAAATGTCATTACATTTCAAAGAAAACAAAAAGTCAATAGGACCTATTAGGTTTGAATTAGTACATTGACTCTTGGATATTTTCAAGCTAAGGCATCTGTGTCCCATTGACACATTCTTCTTTTTTTTCCTATTGCAATTATTTTGTCTCTTTATCAGTGGAGTAGACAGATAGGAAAGAAGTCACAACCTAGAGTACAAGTACCATTACATGCAACAGAACATTTCTACATTGTTACAAAAGATGTGCCAGGAGTGGATCCTAACTTACCAGGTAAATTATAATGTATTCTGACAGGAGTGGATCCTAACTTTCCAGGTAAAATAAAATGTATTCTGAAAGGATTCTACCTTACCAAGTAAAATAAAATGTATTCTGACAGGAGAGGATTCTACCTTACCAGGTAAGTATTCTGACAGGAGTGGATCCTACCTTACCAGGTAAGTATTCTGACAGGAGTGGATTCTACCTTACCAGGTAAGTATTCTGACAGGAGTAGATTCTACCTTACCAAGTAAAATAAAATGTATTCTGACAGGAGTGGATTCTACCTTACCAGGTAAGTATTCTGACAGGAGTCGATTCTACCTTACCAAGTAAAATAAAATGTATTCTGACAGGAGTGGATTCTACCTTACCAGGTAAGTATTCTGACAGATAGACAGAGACTGGGACAGGGAGCAGGGTTTAATTATCAGGTAAAAACTGATAGAATCCATAAGATAGGAAAAAATGGGATAGGGATGAAGTTATATTGCTAAGTAAAATTCAATTGAATCTGAAAGACTTAAAAGTGGAACAGGGAGGAAGGCAATATTCAGGTGCTGATTCAGGCAGTGGTTGAAATGCCCACTGCCCCTAAAAAAGAAAAACAAAAATATAATAAAGGTAAAATTACAACCAATTTTGTGTCAAAATAATGTCCTTTAATTCTTAGAAGCAACCCCAACCTAACATCAACTCTTGACGGGTAAATTCTTATAGAATCTGATAGTCTACTATAGAAATTGGAACAGGGGTGTGATGAAAGGAGCGTTTGAACCATGGTTTTGAATTATTTCAATGATGAGAGATTATGACTGACTAATCTGCTATTAAGAGTGGAGTGGGGGTGTAATGGCACAGTTTGATCCATGATTTTACTTTATTTCAGTGATTAGAGATTATGATGGACTAATCTACTATTAAGAGTGGAGTGGGGGTGTAATGGCACAGTTTGATCCATGATTTTATTTTAGTTCAGTGATTAGAGATTATGATGGACTAATATACTATTAAGAGTGGAGTGGGGGTGTAATGGCACAGTTTGATCCATGATTTTATTTTAGTTCAGTGATTAGAGATTATGATGGACTAATCTACTATTAAGAGTGGAGTGGGGGTGTAATGGCACAGTTTGACCCATGATTTTATTTTAGTTCAGTGATTAGAGATTATGATGGATTAATCTATTATTAAGAGTGGAGTTGGGGTGTAATGCCACAGTTTGATCCATAATTTTATTTTATTTCAGTGATTAGAGATTATGATGGACTAATCTACTATCGAGAGTGGAGTGGGGGTGTAATGGCAGGAGGTTTTGAACCTGTAGCTAAACCAGTTTTCCATACAAGTATTCCAGACAAGTTTGAGTTTCAGTTACTACCAGAAGATTGGGACCACTTTCGTAAATATATATCTACATTTTATTACATTTCAAATGATAGTTTCTAATCCAATCCATTCAAAAACAAAAAAGTTTTTGCTCAATCAGCATTTTTTCTTGAAGTTATTTATTGTACATGCAAAGTGAGTTTGAGTGTGAATCCCCTTCATGTCTTTGTTTTGTTAATAACATCCCCTGCTTTCATCCTTAACACAGGTATGACATATTATTCTAAAGAAATAATGACAACCATCTCCACATACCAGAATCTTTTATATAAACTACTTAAGATCACAATATCTTCACTCTGTATCGATTCTAAAAATACTATAACGTAATAACAGTGCTAAAAAATGTTAAAAGTTTTACAAATTATAAGTAAAAGTCTATAATAATATTCTCCTCTGCTGATGTTATCATATTGTCCTCTGTGACGACGATATTCTCCTCTGCTGATGTTATCATATTGTCCTCTGTGACGACAATATTCTCCTCTGCTGATGTTATCATATTGTCCTCTGTGACGACAACACCGATATTCTCCTCTGCTGATGTTATCATATTGTCCTCTGTGACGACGATATTCTTCTCTGTTGATGCTATCATATTGTCCACTGTGACGACGATACCGATATTCTTCTTTGTTGATGCTATCATATTGTCCTCTGTGACGACAATATTCTCCTCTGCTGATGTTATCATATTGTCCTCTGTGACAACGATATTCTTCTCTGTTGATGCTATCATATTGTCCTCTGTGACTACGATACCGATATTCTTCTTTGTTGATGCTATCATATTGTCCTCTGTGACGACGATATTCTCCTCTGTTGATGTTATCATATTGTCCTCTGTGACAAGGATATTCTCCTCTGTTGATGCTATCATATTGTCCTCTGTGACAAGGATATTCTCCTCTGTTGATGTTATCATATTGTCCTCTGTGACAAGGATATTCTCCTCTGCTGATGTTATCATATTGTCCTCTGTGACGACAACACCGATATTCTCCTCTGCTGATGTTATCATATTGTCCTCTGTGACGACGATATTCTCCTCTGCTGATATTATCATATTGTCCTCTGTGACGACGATATTCTTCTCTGTTGATGCTATCATATAGTCCTCTGTGAGGACGATATTTTCCTCTGCTGATGTTATCATAATGTCCTCTGTGACGACAATACCGATATTCTCCTCTGTGATGACGATATTCTCCTCTGCTGATGTTATCATATTGTCCTCTGTGACGACGATATTCTTCTCTGGTGATGCTATCATATAGTCCTCTGTGAGGACGATATTCTCCTCTGCTGATGTTATCATATTGTCCTCTGTGACGACGATATTCTCCTCTGCTGATGTTATCATATTGTCCTCTGTGACGACGATATTCTTCTCTGTTGATGCTATCATATTGTCCTCTGTGACGACGATACCGATATTCTTCTTTGTTGATGCTGTCATATTGTCCTCTGTGACAACAATATTCTCCTCTGCTGATGTTATCATATTGTCCTCTGTGACGACGATATTCTTCTCTGTTGATGCTATCATATTGTCCTCTGTGACGACGATACCGATATTCTTCTTTGTTGATGGTATCATATTGTCCTCTGTGACGACAATATTCTCCTCTGCTGATGTTATCATATTGTCCTCTGTGACGACGATATTCTTCTCTGTTGATGCTATCATATTGTCCACTGTGACTACGATACCGATATTCTTCTTTGTTGATGCTATCATATTGTCCTCTGTGACGACGATATTCTCCTCTGTTGATGTTATCATATTGTCCTCTGTGACAAGGATATTCTCCTCTGTTGATGCTATCATATTGTCCTCTGTGACAAGGATATTCTCCTCTGTTGATGTTATCATATTGTCCTCTGTGACAAAGATATTCTCCTCTGTTGATGCTATCATATTGTCCTCTGTGACAAGGATATTCTCCTCTGTTGATGCTATCATATTGTCCTCTGTGACGACGATATTCTCCTCTGTTGATGTTATCATATTGTCCTCTGTGACAAGGATATTCTCCTCTGTTGATGCTATCATATTGTCCTCTGTGACAAGGATATTCTCCTCTGTTGATGTTATCATATTGTCCTCTGTGACGACGATATTCTCCTCTGTTGATGCTATCATATTGTCCTCTGTGACGACGATACCGATATTCTTCTTTGTTGATGCTATCATATTGTCCTCTGTGACGACAATATTCTCCTCTGCTGATGTTATCATATTGTCCTCTGTGACGACGATATTCCTCTCTGTTGATGCTATCATATTGTCCACTGTGACGACGATACCGATATTCTTCTTTGTTGATGCTATCATATTGTCCTCTGTGACGACAATATTCTCCTCTGCTGATGTTATCATATTGTCCTCTGTGACAACGATATTCTTCTCTGTTGATGCTATCATATTGTCCTCTGTGACTACGATACCGATATTCTTCTTTGTTGATGCTATCATATTGTCCTCTGTGACGACGATATTCTCCTCTGTTGATGTTATCATATTGTCCTCTGTGACAAGGATATTCTCCTCTGTTGATGCTATCATATTGTCCTCTGTGACAAGGATATTCTCCTCTGTTGATGTTATCATATTGTCCTCTGTGACGACGATATTCTCCTCTGTTGATGCTATCATATTGTCCTCTGTGACAAAGATATTCTCCTCTGTTGATGCTATCATATTGTCCTCTGTGACAAGGATATTCTCCTCTGTTGATTCGATCATATTGTCCTCTGTGACGACGATATTCTCCTCTGTTGATGCTATTATATTGTCCTCTGTGACCAGGATATTCTCCTCTGTTGATGTTATCATATTGTCCTCTGTGACGACGATATTCTCCTCTGTTGATGCTATCATATTGTCCTCTGTGACGACGATATTCTCCTCTGCTGATGCTATCATATTGTCCTCTGTGACAAGGATATTCTCCTCTGTTGATGCTATCATATTGTCCTCTGTAACAAGGATATTCTCCTCTGTTGATGTTATCATATTGTCCTCTGTGACAAGGATATTCTCCTCTGTTGATGCTATCATATTGTCCTCTGTGACGACGATATTCTCCTCTGTTGATGTTATCATATTGTCCTCTGTGACAAGGATATTCTCCTCTGTTGATGTTATCATATTGTCCTCTGTGACGATGATATTCTCCTCTGTTGATGCTATCATATTGTCCTCTGTGACAGGGATATTCTCCTCTGTTGATGCTATCATATTGTCCTCTGTGGCGACGATATTCTCCTCTGTTGATGTTATCATATTGTCCTCTGTGACGACGATATTCTCCTCTGTTGATGTTATCATATTGTCCTCTGTGACAAGGATATTCTCCTCTGTTGATGTTATCATATTGTCCTCTGTGACGACGATATTCTCCTCTGTTGATGTTATCATATTGTCCTCTGTGACGACGATATTCTCCTCTGTTGATGCTATCATATTGTCCTCTGTGACGACGATATTCTCCTCTGTTGGTGCTATCATATTGTCCTCTGTGACAAGGATATTCTCCTCTGTTGGTGCTATCATATTGTCCTCTGTGACAAGGATATTCATCTCTGTTGATGCTATCATATTGTCCTCTGTGACGACTATATTCTCCTCTGTTGATGTTATCATATTGTCCTCTGTGACAAGGATATTCTCCTCTGTTGATGCTATTATATTGTCCTCTGTGACATGGATATTCTCCTCTGTTGATGCCATCATATTGTCCTCTGTGACATGGATATTCTCCTCTGTTGATGCTATCATAATGTCCTCTGTGACAAGGATATTCTCCTCTGTTGATGCTATCATATTGTCCTCTGTGACAAGGATATTCTCCTCTGTTGATGCTATCATATTGTCCTCTGTGACAAGGATATTCTCCTCTGTTGATGTTATCATATTGTCCTCTGTGACGACGATATTCTCCTCTGTTGATGTTATCATATTGTCCTCTGTGACGACGATATTCTCTTCTGTTGATGCTATCATATTGTCCTCTGTGACAAGGATATTCTCCTCTGTTGATGCTATCATGTTGTCCTCTGTGACAAGGATATTCTTCTCTGGTGATGCTATCATATAGTCCTCTGTGAGGACGATATTCTCCTCTGCTGATGTAATCATATTGTCCTCTGTGACGACGATATTCTCCTCTGCTGATGTTATCATATTGTCCTCTGTGATGACGATATTCTCCTCTGCTGATGTTATCATATTGTCCTCTGTGACGACGATATTCTCCTCTGCTGATGTTATCATATTGTCCCCTGTGACGACAATATTCTCCTCTGCTGATGTTATCATGTTGTCCCCTGTGACGACGATATTCTCCTCTGTTGATGTTTTCATATTGTCCTCTGTGACGACCATATTCTCCTCTGTTGATGCTATCATATTGTCCTCTGTGACAATGATATTCTCCTCTGCTGATGTTATCATATTGTCCTCTGTGACGACGATATTCTTCTCTGTTGATGCTATCATATAGTCCTCTGTGAGGACGATATTCTCCTCTGCTGATGTAATCATATTGTCCTCTGTGACGACGATATTCTCCTCTGTTGATGCTATCATATAGTCCTCTGTGACGACGATATTCTCCTCTGTTGATGCTATCATATTGTCCACTGTGACGACAATATTCTCCTCCCTTGTAGTTAATGTGACAGTGTCAAAGGCTTTGATCTCAGATATCCTACCAAATTTATGTTAACATGTATTTGGCGATCATTGATAATGCTTTCAATCTCTGCAAGAACTGTTTGTAACAAATCCTTATTAACTTGGGATCTTCTTAGGACTTTTTTCAGTGTTGTCTTTGTTATTCTTATCAGTCTATCCCTTCACTCACCATACCACGGTTCTGCTCTTGGGTTGAATTTCCAGTTGATTTGAATGTTCAGTTTCCAAGGAATTTGGAATTCCTCATAAACCAAGGTGGGGGTACAGTAAGTAAAAGAGTTAAAATTAGATATAAATGTGAGGATCTGATGTCATTTAGTATTATGTGAATGCTTTCTTTTTCTGTTTTTAGAAATATTACTTGATGCTATTTTGAATCGTATGCCTGCAGTAGAAACAGCTGAAGTACGTCAGTTTGTCAACGGACCAGAAAGTTTTACTCCTGATGGTAGCTGGATTCTTGGGGAATCTGCTGAGGTATGTATCCCTGGAAACAGCTAAAGTCTGTCAGTTTGTCAATCAGAGAGTTTAACTTCTGATTCTAGGGGAATCTGCAAAAATGTATTTCTGTAGATACTAAGACTGATTTGGTGATATTGTATGGTTGAGTTATTGTCTCATAAACCTTTATAGTACTTTGTAGCCACATGGGTGTGAGGGTGTCATATCAGCAATCTTTTTTTACCATCCTGTTTGATAATTTTCTATTTATGTTATTCCAGATTGATTAATTCTTTGTAGCCACATGAATGTTGTATCAGAAACCTGTTCATGAGAATCATGTTTTAATATTTTTATATCCATGTAATTCCAGATTGGTAAATACTTTGTAGCTGCAGGAATGTCCTCAACTGGTGTTGTAGCATCTGGTGGTGTGGGAAAACAAATTGCTGGGTGGATAATTGATGGAGAGCCAAGCATTAATTTAGAAGCTCATGACATTCTACGATTTGTACCATTTCATAACAACAGGCGGTTTCTCAGGGAGAGAGTTAAAGAATCATTAGGTTTGTACATCACATGAGGAAGTTAAAGGATATTTATACCTAGCACTAACCAAGTTCAGTAGGGTAGGAATCCATTTGTCTGTATTTAATATGTGCAAGTAGTTTCCTGTTCAGAACATTGAAATGTCTGGAAGGATGTTAATGATACTTGGTATTAATGAGACGATGTGTGACAAATAAGGTTGCAATGTCTGTCTCCAAGGTCAAGGTCACAACTTAGTTCAACTTACAAAGTCTATATTCACATACACAAAGACATGTTAGATGCCAATATATACCTTTAAGGATGTTAAATAATGATACTTATTATTATGTAAATTGCAAATTAGTTGTAGAGTCTGTCTGAAAGGTCAAGGTCACAAACACAGTTTCAGTTATATATTTGCTTCTGATATTATTGTTACCCACAACAGAGGGTGTGAATAAATTGGATGATCTGCCTGCAAGGTCCAAGTAAAAGATGAAAAACGTGGCAGGGTATCATTTTACTGGCTGACCCTCTAGTTTATATAAACTGTCATTGTATATCTTCTATTTCCCCTTACTAACAATAATGGAAAGTACATAGTATTTATTATGTCTCTAGTCTCTTTTCTATTCAAAAGATAACTTCAATCCACATTTACTTCATAAATTTCTGAAAAGATCTCTGCAAAAATTATATCTTACCTGTGATGAAATTTTGCAGATGGGGAGATACTTTTCTGAGAGAAATTAACAATTTGCCAATCACCTCAATATTTTATCCCTTTTCTGCCTTATATGACAAAAATTGTTGGTCAGGTAAAGGAAAATATGTTAGGGTCATTATGTATTTTTTGCAGTAGTGTTTGCCTATTTGACAAATCTCATGTAATCTTGAAATTTCGCACTCCAGTGATTATCAGTTTTTTCTGCATACTGATGTAACCAAACGATGGTCTAAGGGTTTAAGATTTTTAATACACTAATATATTAAAATATCAAACACTGTTATAAAATTAATTTTTAACAATCCTATAATATTAAAATATCCTAAACTCTGCCACAAACTCCCCTTGATGTAAAATGTCGCCCTTGTCATTTACATGAGGGAACATTCTGTGCAACCCAGCATTTGAGTTTTTGATCTATTTTTTTAAGAGATGATGTAATGATAAATGGCAGAAGGATGACAGAAAACATATAGTACTAATTGTGGTCTATAAATAGTGAATGAGAATTAAATGTGATGTTGTTTTACAGGAATGTACAGGATGAAATATCCAGGACAGCAATGGAAAACGGGACGTAACTTACGTACATCACCACTATATACTCGACTTAAGGCTGAGGGTGCATGCTTTGGTGAAACTAATGCATATGAAAGACCCATGTATTTCTCTGATATAGCTGATAGTAAGTTGGGTTGTTTTTATTTTGAATTTTTTTTTAGGCTAGGTGAATGATTAAGGGCTGGTGCTAGGGATAGTTTTAGTAATCAATGTTAAACAGGGATGTAGAAATGTCATGCCTGACTTGAACAGATTGTCCCAAAGTCTTCTGTACAATAAATATGTTCCAACAGTAAGTAATTTTTGTAATAGCATAACCAGAAGGGACAAATCATTTCTGTAATAGCACAACCAGAAGGGACAAATCATTTCTGTAATAGCACAACCAGAAGGGACAAATCATTTCTGTAATAGCACAACCAGAAGGGACAAATCATTTCTGTAATAGCACAACCAGAAGGGACAAATCATTTCTGTAATAGCACAACCAGAAGGGACAAATCATTTCTGTAATAGCACAACCAGTAGGGACAAATCATTTCTGTAATAGCACAACCAGAAGGGACAAATCATTTCTGTAATAGCACAACCAGAAGGGACAAATCATTTCTGTAATAGCACAACAAATAATTTCCAGGAAAGTAGAATTTTGCATAGTACTTGTCCTTGGACAAAATATATTATTGGTATTTCAATAGCCCTGTTTATAGTCTAGATTAATGACTGAAAGCTGATGGAGAATGTTATCTTGAAATTAGGAACAGTTTTGTTTATAAAATTTTATCTGGCAGGTTATATTGTGTGTATCTAAAGCTGCTGGGCATGCAGTGAGATTGATAGACCTCCAAGGCATGTTATATTGTGTGTGTCTAAAGCAGGAACTGCTGGGAATGCAGTGAGATTGATGGACCTCCAAGGCATGGTATATTGTGTGTATCTAAAGCAGGAACTGCTGGGCATGCAGTGAGATTGATAAACCTCCAAGGCATGTTATATTGTGTGTATCTAAAGCAGGAACTGCTGGGCATGCATTGAGATTGATAGACCTCCATGGCATGTTATATTGTGTGTATCTAAAGCAGGAACTACTGGGCATGCAGTGAGATTGATAGACCTCCATGGCATGTTATATTGTGTGTATCTAAAGCAGGAACTGTTGGGCATGCAGTGAGATTGATAAACCTCCAAGGCATGTTATATTGTGTGTATCTAAAGCAGGAACTGTTGGGCATGCAGTGAGATTGATAGACCTCCAAGGCATGTTATTTTGTGTGTATCTAAAGCAGGAACTGCTGGGCATGCAGTGAGATTGATAGACCTCCATGGCATGTTATATTGTGTGTATCTAAAGCAGGAACTGCTGGGCATGCAGTGAGATTGATAGACCTCCAAGGCATGTTATATTGTGTGTATCTAAAGCAGGAACTGTTGGGCATGCAGTGAGATTGATAAACCTCCAAGGCATGTTATATTGTGTGTATCTAAAGCAGGAACTGTTGGGCATGCAGTGAGATTGATAGACCTCCAAGGCATGTTATTTTGTGTGTATCTAAAGCAGGAACTGCTGGGCATGCAGTGAGATTGATAGACCTCCATGGCATGTTATATTGTGTGTATCTAAAGCAGGAACTGTTGGGCATGCAGTGAGATTGATAGATCTCCAAGGCATGATATATTGTGTGTATCTAAAGCAGGAACTGCTGGGCATGCAGTGAGATTGATAGATCTCCAAGGCATGTTATATTGTGTGTATCTAAAGCAGGAACTGCTGGGCATGCAGTGAGATTGATAGATCTCCAAGGCATGTTATATTGTGTGTATCTAAAGCAGGAACTGCTGGGCATGCAGTGATATTGATAGACCTCCAAGGCATGTTATATTGTGTGTATCTAAAGCAGGAACTGCTGGGCATGCAGTGATATTGATAGACCTCCAAGGCATGTTATATTGTGTGTATCTAAAGCAGGAACTGCTGGGCATGCAGTGAGATTGATAGACCTCCAAGGCATGTTATATTGTGTGTATCTAAAGCAGGAACTGCTGGGCATGCATTGAGATTGATAGACCTCCAAGGCATGTTATATTGTGTGTATCTAAAGCAGGAACTGCTGGGCATGCAGTGAGATTGATAGACCTCCAAGGCATGTTATATTGTGTGTATCTAAAGCAGGAACTGCTGGGCATGCAGTGAGATTGATAAACCTCCAAGGCATGTTATATTGTGTGTATCTAAAGCAGGAACTGCTGGGCATGCAGTGAGATTGATAGACCTCCAAGGCATGTTATATTGTGTTTATTTAAAGCAGGAACTGCTGGGCATGCATTGAGATTGATAGACCTCCATGGCATGTTACTGTTTGTGAAAGTATTTCAGGATTTGTTCTTGAACCTGTTCTGGAACAGCTTGAAATACATAACAATACCTAAAGTTAACCTAGCTGGCATGTCACTGCTTTTGTCCGTATTCAGTACTTTGATCTACTTAATCTTCTGGAGCACCTGAGATCACCGCAGGTTTTTGGTGGGATTTGTGTTGCTCAGTCTTTTGCATTCTATGTTGTGTTTTTTTTAACTGTTGTTTGTCTTTTCATTGTATTTTTTGTGTTTTGCCATGGTGTTGTCAGTTTGTCTTATGAGTTTGAATGTCCCTTTGGTGCCTCTATTTTAATTATTTTTCGGGCCAGGAATAAGCAGGTATGGGTATATATGGGAAACTAGAATGTCACTGTTTGTTGAAGCTTGGAACTTTGAATGTTTCCTCTGGTAAACCTGTCTGGAATCTTACAGTTTGTGTTAGTTTTTCAGTACTGTGATTATTGTTGGTGTCAGAAAAGTCTGATTGATTGATGTTTGCTTTACATGAGAAAAGTCTGATTGATTGACTGATGTTTGCTTTACATGAGAAAAGTCTGATTGATTGATTGATGTTTGCTTTACATGAGAAAAGTTTGATCGATTGATTGATGTTTGTTTTACATGAGAAAAGTCTGATTGATTGATTGATTGATGTTTGCTTTACATGAGAAAAGTCTGATTGATTGATTGATGTTTGCTTTACATGAGAAAAGTCTGATTGATTGATGTTTGCTTTACATGAGAAAAGTCTGGGATTCAGATTAGTTTGGTTCACCTATATGGTATGTCACTGTTTGTGTCAGTATTTCAGTACTCTAATTATATTTCAGGTGAAGAACAATGGGGCATACAGAAGGGTACATTTGGTAAACCTATCTGACATGTCACTGTTTGTGTCAGTATTTCAGTACTCGTATTATTTTTCAGTTGAAGAACAATGGGGCATACAGAAGGGTACATTTGGTAAACCTATCTGATATGTCACTGTTTGTGTCAGTATTTCAGTACTCATATTATTTTTCAGGTGAAGAACAATGGGGCATACAGAAGGGTACATTTGGTAAACCTATCTGACATTTCACTGTTTGTGTCAGTATTTCAGTACTCTAATTATTTTTCAGGAGAAGAACAATGGGGCATACAGAAGGGTACATTTGGTTCACCTATCTGACATGTCACTGTTTGTGTCAGTATTTCAGTACTCGTATTATTTTTCAGGTGAAGAACAATGGGGCATACAGAAGGGTACATTTGGTTCACCTATCTGACATGTCACTGTTTGTGTCAGTTTTTCAGTACTCGTATTATTTTTCAGGTGAAGAACAATGGGGCATACAGAAGGGTACATTTGGTTCACCTATCTGACTTGTCACTGTTTGTGTCAGTATTTCAGTACTCGTATTATTTTTCAGGTGAAGAACAATGGGGCATACAGAAGGGTACATTTGGTAAACCTATCTGACTTGTCACTGTTTGTGTCAGTATTTCAGTACTCTAATTATTTTTCAGGTGAAGAACAATGGGGCATACAGAAGGGTACATTTGGTAAACCTATCTGACATGTCACTGTTTGTGTCAGTATTTCAGTACTCTAATTATTTTTCAGGTGAAGAACAATGGGGCATACAGAAGGGTACATTTGGTAAACCTATCTGACATGTCACTGTTTGTGTCAGTATTTCAGTACTCTAATTATTTTTCAGGTGAAGAACAATGGGGCATACAGAAGGGTACATTTGGTAAACCTATCTGGCATGAGCATGTAAAGAATGAGTACTGGTCATGTAAAGAAAGGGTCAGCTTGATTGATATGTCATCCTTCTCAAAGTTTGAAATAATGGTGAGTTAGTTTCTACTGTCAAAACTGACTGGATTGAACTCTTACTAAGTGATCACTTCCTTTAAATTTTTTTTTAAATCTAATTTAATTTGGATTGATTTTTGGCGAACCTGCAACTCATGTCGCAGAAAGCGAGCCAAAGGGATAGTGATCCGGCAGCAGCAGCTTTTAACTCATTACTTAAATGCTTAATATCTCAGAAGGTAGAAGACCTTGATGCGTTATACTTTATATTAAATTGACTTATGTTATTAAGGTTAAAAGCTATATTAAATTTTCCAGCTATTGTGGTTTCTGAAATAAAGTGGGTTAATGGGTCTTATAATACCCCCAGAGACATTCATATTGCGTAAGAGTTTAACCCTTTTTATGCCCCAGCAATATTTATATTGTGTAAGAGTGTAATCCTTTTTATGCCCCAGCAATATTTATATTGTGTAAGAGTGTAATCTTTTTTGAATATTTTTATGGCAAGGTGCATTCAAATCAAATCTCAAGTCAGATTGCTAGTTTTCCTACCAAAGCTGTTTTCCCCGGTGCACTCCAACTTTCTCCATTATTAAAAACTGGCCTCCATGTTATAGCCAAATATTCTGAAAGTGGCATAAAAAACAACAATTTATCAATCAGTCTTTTACTATTAGAATATCGTCGTGTGCATCTTATAGTGTTATATGTCCACTTTTGATAAAATTGGAGATAGCTATATATTTGCCAGATCCAAGTGCAATGGTCTATCTCCCTATGCAACTATAATACGAGATTTTTACACTCCAGGAGTTTTTTTCAGAACTACACTGTTCCATCTCCACACTCTCATTGGATTATAATAGCTTATTCATCTAGTTAGTTCAGAAAAGATTTTTTTATAGTGTTGCATCTCCAATATTTCTCATGTATTTTTGCTGTTAAATAATTATCTTAGTACATGTAGTACTATGATTAATTGGTTTGCATGGTTTGAACTCAATCTATGAGCAATTCTTAGCAAATCCAGCAGTAGAGAATTGGGGATATTTCAAAGTTAAAAAATCCATGGTATATCTCCAATTGAAATATAGAGATAAATTTCTAAAACTACATTATTTGTAGTGAAATGTTCTATCTCCAAAAAAAGGGATGCTTTATTTATATAAGTTGCTTGTCTTTTTAAAAAAAAAACAATCGAACAAGGAGTTACTCTTCATATACGTAAATTCGATTCCTATGTAACATTTTATGTCTCAGTCAAATATTTATGACATTAAGCTTTTAAACTTTAATTTAAATTTTTACCACTATTACCAAATGGGAAATACATCATTATAAGATTCCCACGACGATATGCCTGTCAATTTTTACAGTTGAATTAAGCATAAGATTGAATATTGTGTAAATCAGGACAAAACCTTGAAATTTATCTTTCAAAGTATAAATAAGTCAATTCATGTTACTTAAAATTGTTGACCTCTGTCTTACTGATAAATGGTCTTACATCCCACTGATATAAAACAGAAATAACTGATCTATGTAGAAATTATTGAGAAGTTCATTATAAATGGGGAAGTTCTTGAAATCTGTATTGAAGATCAAAGGAAACTTCAAAATTACTAAAATATGTGATTACTGAAACTTTGTTTCAATAGTACCGTGCCAGTTAAGTGATTTAGTATTTCTTCAATATTTTTTTTTCTTGCAGTTTTGAAGCTTGCACAGTAAAATCTTGCAGATAAGATTGAGGTTAAGTTAAAACGTTGATATATTTTGTTATACTAAGATCTAAAACCTGTTGACCAGTAATACTTTATATAAAATTTATTTAATTACAGTCTCAGGGATCAGAAGCTTTAGATTTACTGCAGTATTTAAGTTCAAATGACATAAACCAACCAATCGGAACAGTCATACATACAGGAATGCAGAACAGTCGTGGAGGATACGAAAATGACTGTTCTATTGTACCGCTGACAGATAACAGGTATGTATTGTCAAATGTATAATATGTATAAACACACGTCATGCAAACATTCAGTACAATGAATTATACAATTTAACCAAAGATCTATTGATAAAATAAAAAATATTGATCTGGTCTTTGGCATCTACACATCTTGATGTCATAGGTACACACCCAGCATCAAACATAAACACCATACATTTTTGTCTCCCCTTGAGACATAGGTATGCTGTTTCTGGTGTTGGTGGCAGCCGCATCAACAATGTATTTGTTAATGATTAGGTCAGTTTATAGGGGAACCACTAGTGGTAGCTCAATGATATTTGTTATGCATTTGTATTAGAATTGACATATCTCATTTCCAAGGAGTTTTTATGGCGCGTTCCCTTTGTCATGGTCTATTGACTTGAAAACTTTTGCTTAGTTTTCATTTATTAGATTGTGATTAGGTCAGTTTATGGGGAACCACTAGTGGTAGGTCAATGATATTTGGTATGCATTTGTACTAACATTGGCGTATTTCATATCCATGGAGATAACTTGGCCCTGCCCCCTTAGTCATGGTCTATTGACTTTGCAACTTTTGCTAAGTTTACATGTGTTAGTTTGTAATTTGGTCAGTTAATGGGAAACCACTAGTGGTAGGTCACTGATATTTGGTATGCCGTTGTAAAAGCATTTGCACATCTCATTTCCATGGAGATTGTTTGGTCCTGTTCCTTCATTCATGGTTCATTGACTTTGAATATTTTACATAACGTACATATTAAAGTATTGCTATTTTAATTTCAACTTTTGCACTTCTCTGTGTTGACAGTTTATTAGACTGTACTTATGATTCAGAATAATATAAAATATTGACAAATTTTTTTTAAATAAAAAATGTGACTTTTGGTTTATTTTTATAAAGAATGACATACTCAAAAAATCCAAAATGTTAGATTACCGACCAGTAGACAGTGGAATTTACCTCTCAAAATATATGACAACCACCAATAAAAGTCATCTTTACTAATTGGATAAGAATGTTAAATTATTGACAAACAATTATGCAAGGAACCGAAAAATAATTAAGTTAAGCATAGGAAATTTTCTATTCTGTTGTATATCTGATGAATAACAAATAAGGAACATACATAGGTATGGTAACCACCTCGGTGGTCTCATGGTATCATGTTTGACCCGAGTGAGAGAGGTCCTGGGTTCAAACCCCAGCCGGGTCAAACCAAAGACTTCAAAATTGGTATTTGCTGCTTCTCCTCTAGGCACGCGACATTAAGGAGTAAGAGCAAAGACTGGTCGATTATGAGTCAGAATAATGCGTCTGTTTATGGTGATATGTCTTCCTGCAGACTGTTACCTTGTGAACTAGCACGTTAAAAATCTGGCTCAGCGTGTCGGTCTTGCACAAAGCAGTGTTAATATTATATTACTTTAACACGTTCTCGTCCTGAATATGCACGTTTTAATTTGCCACTGGACGTTTAGCAGCCATTCATCATCATCATCACATATTTATGGTTCTGCATAATAAAAAATGGACCTGATTGAGGCAAAAGCAGACCAGAATAACATTTGATTTATCTGAATAACAGGTTCTTCATGATTGCACCTACCTCACAGCAGACCAGATCATTTTCCTGGCTAAGGAAACATTGTCCACTAGATGGATCTGTAATGATCTCTGACCTTACATCAGCATTCTCAGGGTTAAATGTTGTTGGTCCTCATGCTCAACAGCTGTTGGCAGATGTCACAGATACTTCAATGACTCTAACAGACTTTAAACCAATGACTTGTCAGGTATATTTTATTGATTCTCTGTTGAATAAATTTATGTTCTTATTTTTCATAGGCTTACACCAGGTTGAATCTCATCATTCCTAGGCATACACATGGTTAAATCATATTGGTCCTAGACTTACCCCAGGTTGAATCTCATTAATCCTAGGCATACACATTGTTAAATCATATTGGTCCTAGACTTACCCCAGGTTGAATCTCATTAATCCTAGGCATACACATTGTTAAATCATAGGCATACACATGGTTAAATCATATTAGTCCTAGACTTACCCCAGGTTGAATCTCATTAATCCTAGGCATACACATGGTTAAATCATATTAGTCCTAGACTTACCCCAGGTTGAATCTCATTAATCCTAGGCATACACATGGTTAAATCATATTGGTCCTAGACTTACCCCAGGTTAAATATTCTTAATCCTAGGCTTACACATGGTTAAATCATATTATTCCTAGACTTACCAACCCCAGGTTGAATCTCATTAATCCTAGGCATACACATGGTTAACTCGTATTATTCCTAGACTTACACCAGGTTAAATCTCATTGGTTATAAATCAAAGGAGATGTGAGTCTTGAGAAAAATAACTCAATACCAAAAACAATACCTAGAGCTTATCAAAAAATACAATACATAGAGCTCATCACCAAAAACAATACCTAGAGCTCATCACTAAATACAATACCTAGAGCTCATCACCAAAAACAATACCTAGAGCTCATCACCAAAAACAGCACAAAAACAATACCTAGAGCTCAATACTAAAAACAATACCTAGAGCTCATCATCAAAAACAATACCTAGAGCTCATCACCAAAAACAATACCTAGAGCTCAAGACCAAAAACAATACCTAGAGCTCATCACCAAAAACAATACCTAGAGCTCAATACCAAAAACAATACCTCGAGCTCATCACCAAAAACAATACCTAGAGCTCAACACCAAAAACAATACCTAGAGCTCAACACCAAAAACAATTCCTAGACCTCAACATCAAAAACAATACCTATAGCTCAACACCATAACACCAAAAACAATACATAGAGCTCAACACACAGTTTTCAACTAATGATAAGTATAGGTCAAAATTGTCATATTACCCTTTCAGATGTGACATCCCAGGGTCCAACATTATAGGGAAAAAATACCTTTAGTGTTTTCAAATTTCAAAAGAGGAGGTATGATGAGGCCACTATTTAAGCCCCTTTAAATTGAAGATCAAAAAGTATTATAAATCTACCAATTATATCCTTCAGATGTTCATAAGGTATAGTTTTGTCTTAATATTGGCATAAGGGCTTCACACTTCCTATATTTAGTGCAAAACAGCAAAAACTGTCCAAACAGCCTCGTTATGAGATCTTTTCATTAATATTTCGATATATGAACAACAGCTTTACCCATAAAGATATTTTGCTACAAAAGGACAAGGCCAAGGATGGAAGGCTTGGGCATGCTTTTCCAGTGTCTATAGTGTCAACAATTTTAAAGTTTGTAATTAGATCAATTTAAGGGGTACCACAAATGGTAAGTCAATGATATTTAGTATGAAGTTGTTTTAGCATAAGCATATCTCATTTCCATGGAGATTATTTGGCTCTGCCCCCCCCCCTCCCTCTAAAAAATACGTTCTCATCTAAAATTAAAAACTCTCATTCACGGTCATTTGCCATAATTCGTACTCAAATATGTCGAATTATTGCTCATAAGACAAACGTATGCAAAAACGAGAAAAATAATGGAAAGCACGTTTTTCTTTTTATCAAACATTTGAAAATCGAGAATCTGGCATATTGAACACCTGGGGAATGCTGACCTGAATCTTAATAAATAAATTTGCATTTCTCAGGCCTGTATGCCAGCATACGAACCTGGTGTATGCCAAAGTCTACATTTAATTTATACATTGTATTTCTCAGGTCTGTATGCCTGCATACGAACCTGGTGTATGCAGAACGGCCAATATTGAATCAAATGTTGTATTTCGCAGGTCTGTATGCCAGCATACGAACCTGGATGTTTCCAGAATCTTCAATGTAATGCATTCGAATCAGTAGAGCATACAAACATGGTGTTGCCAAAATCCTTTACTTCAGTAGTTGTGTTTTAACACCGATTTCGATTTTTTTTAAACTACAAGTCTACGACTGACCTCTATATATTCTCCCCATAGGTAAACAGAAAAGCGTTAATTTGCAAAGCAAACTGTTAAAGCGTTTACTGTTGTAAATCTAAAAATGAAAACCGATTCTCAAGTTCCACGACTATGATCACTTTCATATTGACATGCAAGTTATCTGTTTTGTTTTTTGCAAATTAAAATTACGGAAAAATGAGGCCATCATAATTTGTACAAGGTTCCAAGTTGTTGACAAAACTTTAAATGACGTCAGGGACCTTGTGACGTAAGGCGGAGGGAATTACAGACGGATAGCACAATGAGGGCCTTGACTTACGCGAGCTACTTTCACCAGTACACTTAATTAAAATAATAGCAATTAATTACAAAACAAAATAGTTTTTTTTATACTTTGTATTGGTAATTTATAAAAAATCAAAGAACAAATGGACTATTTATCTGCGTTGAATGACCTCTAATAACACCGTATGTTACGCGCTCTTATATGACGTCATTTCTAAATGTAAACAATGAGAATGATCAATGACGGAGTTCCCGTCACGGAGAAGAAAATGGACAGTTCATTGAAAAGTACGCTCTATTATCATCTAAATTTTAATATACCAGAAGCAAAACAGAATGTTAGTACATTTAAGGTAAGTAAACCTCGCTGTTTTTGTACATTTTCCACAAATTTAATAGAACACCCCCTTTTTTAAAATTGACTCAATCCGACCTGAAAACTGTTATTAAGATTATTGATTATAGATGCTAATTGTGTTTTCTCAAGAGGTTTGTCCACTTCAATCAATTTCATGCAGGACATCGTGTGGCTAACTATCAAGCTGCCCCCCTCCCAAAAAAAAACCAAAATAGCCTTGCAAGACGTCATAAGTATTTGGACTACCCCCCACCCCGAAAGCATTTAGAGAAAAAAAATGAATGGGAAATACGATTAGGTGTACATCCACAGTGATGTCTCCTTGCATTAGTTCCAGAGGCGGATTTAGGGGGTGCTTTGTGGGAAAAAATTGGTTGATTATTGAGGAAAGCATGACTGGAGCGATCCATCTCTGAGGTAGTCAGTGTCCACCCCCATCCCCCCATATGCAACTGTGGATCTGCCACTGAGTTAAGTCTCCCGGCTTTTGTTTTAAATTGAAATTCAGCCCCTATCCAGATTTTCAAAATGCATGACCAATGTCCTTCAGTTAACCCATTCAGTTCTTATTCTAACAATTCTTAGGGAAACAACTGTCCCAGGTAAGGGCGAGGGTTGAGCGCTCACCTGTTAAAACCGGCCACACTAGTCTTTATGTGCCTGTCCCAAGTCAGGAGCCTGTAGTTGAAGATGTCATTAATAATTGGTTCATGTATGTCGTATTTCTTTTTCGTAAATTGTTTTGCTATAAATTAGGTCGTTAGTTTTCTCAAATGCATTGTTTCTTATTTTTCATGTTGGGACCTTTTATCATCTGACTATACGATATTGGTTTTTTCTCATTGGTGAAGTCCGTACGGTTGCCTATACTTGCTTCATTGCTCCACTTCATTTGGACTTTGGTGGATAGTTGTCTCATTAGCATTCATCCCACATCTCCTTATTTTTACAAGGAGGTTGTATGATGTTCTCCTTGTTTGGGAAAACTGTAGAGTACATTTGTCACATGATCATGCAGCATTCTGTGATGTGTGTATGTAAGAAGCTGTTACAGGGTAATTTATGAAAAACTATCAACAAAATCGAAAGACAGACAGAAAACTTTTGAAATTTAGTGATCAATAAAAAACAAAAAAGAAGTAATTCAAACAAATCAAATATATATTTATTGCGAAAGGATCTGAACAGCACATTTCAAGAGTGTTCAAATTGGAAAAATGAATGTTATTAAGGAAATTACATATTTCATTGATCTTCAATCATATGCATAGTTACAAAAAAACTTTCAAGGGAACGACTTCAATTCAACCACTAAGAACCCTTAGTTCAATAAATTCTAAAATCAGTAACTGTGATAATGTTAAAGTTAGGAAGCGTATAATATTTACATATATATATATGTATATAATATGTAGTTTCAATATCTCGTTTCAGCATTTTTCAAACAGTGGCTATACCTTTCATGTAACTATTTATGTGTTGCTTATGAATTGAATTGTAACACTTATTAGTGACTGGATAGGTTAAACCAATGCCTTCCTAGAAAACTACGACACCAAAGAACAGCACCTGACCTTTTGCTGTTCCTGCTTATAAAGTAAAAATAGCTTCACTAGAAAAGGACGACACCTAGAAAAAGCATCAATTCTTTGGCTTTCCTGATTGAAGGATTTATTTTCATAACTCCAGTGTATATGCCAGTATACATAATTTTTACCATAGTATAGTACTATAAATTCACTAATTTTCATATCTAAGCCAGTCCAGTTAGATACCGACTTATGATATGCAGTCAAGACAGATCATTGCAAATTGTTTAATTTAACGATAATTAAAATACATGCATGTTTGGCATACATCTTTTTACAGCAAATTGTATACAGACATCCCCCCTAAAAGCATTTAAAAAAATACCAAACAAGAACTTTGTCATACACCATGTTGACAGGCAGAAATGCAAACACAATGACTTAAAAACTTTGCTGTATCACTATCTATTTAGTATGCATATTGCCATCTATATCAGATTTTAAGACAGTTCCATTTTCTATCCATCAATTGAAGTTACTAACTTAGAGCATGATGAAAAATAATAGTTTTACAATTTAAAATATGAATACAACATACGGCTAGTTAGAATGCAAACCGTTCAGCTTGCTAAATATCCAATAAGTTCCACCAAATATGCAGAAATTTTAGACTGGAGGCAAACCCTACACAATTACACTAGCTCATTGAACACCAGCTTGGTTGGACAATACTTAAATGTATGTAAAACTATGATCCAATAGAACATAGGTGGGTATACAGGCAATCAAATCTTGTATATATCCAAGTAAAAAAAAATAAGTGTTCACCGTACACCAGTGTTGTATGCAAGAATACCGTGAACTGAAAATGTCAAACAAATATGAAAACTTTCATGTTCAAATGTGTATAGGACTATAGGTCGGTATGCCGACAAGCAAACCTATGAATTCCATTTTTTTCACAAGAGTTTATTGAAAAGCGGGTTGATATACAGGAATAAACCCCTGAGTGTTGCAGTTAAGAATTGAGAGCTTTCTTTCAAATTCAAACGAAGTTGAAGGCTATACAAAAGTAATTCCTTACATCCATGTAATTCAGCCTTTGATGGAGATATGTCTCTTTCACAATCATACACATCTCCTTATTTATGTATATAGTAAATAAGAAATGTTACTACACAGTAAATGCTTAGCATTCAGGCATACAGACTTGCCACTACAAACATGTATCCAGAATAAGGTTTTAGAATACATGCAGGCATACCTGGCTGAAAAATGCCAAAAATAAATAATAATTTAAGTCTACATACACCAGGTTCGTATGCAGGCATACAGACCTAAACTATGCCAAAATAAATATATTAAAGGTTCTATATACAACAGATTTGTATGCAGGCATACAGACCTGACAAATACTAGTATACGCAGAGAGTGAGAGTTTGGCATACGCCAGGTCGCAGCATACAGACCTGACAAATACTATAGTATACGCATACAGTGAGAGTTTAGCATACACCAGGTCAGTATGCTGGCATACAGACCTGACAAATTCTAGTATACGCATAGAGTGAGAGTTTAGCATACGCCAGGTCGGTATGCAGGCATACAGACCTGACAAATACTAGTATACGCATAGAGTGAGAGTTTAGCATACACCAGGTCGGTATGCTGGCATACCGACCTGACAAATTCTAGTATACACATAGAGTGAGAGTTTAGCATACACCAGGTCGGTATGCAGGCATACAGACCTGAGAAATACAAGTAAAAGAAAAAGACTGAATTTAGCATATTATTCATTGAAACATCTGAAATAAAGATGGGTAAATGCTATGTTATGTATATATAGCAAAAATGGCGTAAAAGTATAACAAAAATGCAGAATGAGTAATATTTTTAGGTTTATTTGCTTCAACTATTTCCTGGGTGTTGAAATAGTTCATTCTAGCATCCTATGAAAAAGATTAATGATAAAATGATGAAGTTTTGGATTCGCATAAACAAAAAAAGACCAAAAATCTTGCAAAAAAATTACAGACAAATATAAATAATGCTATACAGTGACTTTTTAACGCGAAATATATCAATCATGCCAAAAGATGTAGCTTTTTCACACAAAAATGAGCTAAATGGCATATGAGAATTTCTAATTTTAGATGAGAACGTATTAAAACTGGGGCTATACTGCTATCACCTTGTCCATCTGTTTGTCAGTCATTCATCAAACATTTTTATGTCACACTTTTCTCAGGTACCTCTAAACTGAACAATTTCATATTTGATCTGTCAACGACAACATATATTTGTTCCGCCTAACATAAGTTCTGCCTAACATAAGTTCAATAATATTACAGAATATTTCTTCCATCTGGAACTTATCTTATGAAGGAACTTCTATTTCATGACAGATCAGCAGCTTGGCAATGATGAGTTCTAAAGTGTAGGCACTCCTGGGATATGTCAGATACCTTCTTCCTGTTTGATGATACTTTAAATATCTCAATTTGTTGAATGAACTTGAAAATTTTTGTCACATATTTCTCCATTACTACTGAACAGAATGACTTCATATTTGATCATCAGCTTTATAATGCAGAATTGTAATGTGTGAGTGCTTTTTAGATTTGTCTGCACCTACTTCCTGTTTTCGGATACTTTGAAATACAAGTGGGGATCTGCATAGCAAGACAATGCATGCATTCTTGTTAGGATGCAGTTGTAAAGCATTTAAACATCTCCTTTTATTGATACCATTTTGCATGTTCAAATTTCCTTAGTACTAGTAAGTAAAATTACAAATATCCTGTAATTCCACTAACAAAAGTGAGGGAGCTACCATTTGATTTTTATGAGGGAGGGGGGGCTAGGATGAAAAAAAAAGCAGGACAGGAGTTTTGAGTAAAAAGAGATTACAACTAAAAAAAAATGCAGGACAAAATTTTTCATCCTAGCCCCCCATAAAAATCAAATGGTAGCTCCCTAATTAAACTGTTTATCATTCTATGAGGTTCACATGTCATTGTATTTTTGACAGGTTATAGATGTTGGATATGCTGGCGGTATAATAGCTATGAGGTTAACACATGCTGGGGAAGACGGCTTTGTACTGTATGTCCCATCAGAGGTAAAATATTTAGGACCTAAGAAGACACACATGATTTTTTATAGCATCTTTTTTAATCAGAGTAGCGTTTGTACCTTAATTTGAAAAATTCTAAATTCTGTCCTATAGATTCTATTTTTATAAAAAAAAAAGAGACAACCTTTCTATATAATCCTTAAAAAGTTCAACTCCCAAGGATGACTTGGGAATAGAAATATGGTCACTTAGGTCTTCTTCCAACTGGCAGTAAAACCTTTGCCAAAGTGGGGCGTCCATTTGGATGTGCATGATGCTATATGTTGCTTTTTATGAATTTTCATGAAAAATGAGCTTCAAGCATGAAAAGGCTTTAAGCATATCTAATGCGAAAGACGCGATATATTGGAAAATAAGAAAATTCCAAATTGTTTATGTTTTTTTTTTCATACCTTTTAAGTAAAGTTTTTCATGTTTTAACGGGTCCATTTCGTATATGGGGCATCTTCCCTAGCCAAGGTTATGATCCAGTCCCTTCCTCTCCACCCTTGACAGATTAAGATAGAATTTCGGATCCATGAGGTAATGATTTCCATTGGTTGCAGTTATAACTGGTGCATCCAATCAAAAAGCGCCTTTAAGATGATCACGTGTAAATGAAGAAAATGTAAATAAACAATTGCCATGTGCTGATTGTGCAACAAGTCTTTACCCCAAAAACATAGGATGATATTTAGTGACAATTTTAAAGTTCTTAATCAGCTAATTGAAATTCCTGGGTATGTTTCTAGTGGAAATGTTGGAATGTTTGGTGCCTGCTTCACAAAATTTGTAAACACTAGACACAACCATTTTTACACCTCCACACTGAAGAGAGTTCAAGTGCTGCCATTGGTCAAGAATGATGCAGTCAAAATGGGCGTGACTTTTTTATCTACCGTTAGATGGCACAGCATTTTTATTACAAATGTTTCCTTAATATGCCATGGGTGAAGTGTGAAGAGGAGGGGACTGGATCGTAACCATTGGCTAGCAAAGATGTCTATGGGGATGAAACAGTAAATCCCAAAATAGTTCAAAATAAGATCTTACGTAATTAAGACAAAAAAGGAAAACATACTCAAAGTAAAGGGCTATTAACATAGGATTTTGTTCAGAAAATTATATCCATAAACAACATTTTCAGACTGGTTTCAATTGTCTAATCTTAGAATTTTAGTTTTAATAACAGAAACACAAGAGATTATTTTGAGATTTTTATTTCTTAGAACAAACACAACGAATGATGTGTTATTATTTCTGTTTATGTTTAACCATGATAATCATAATTTGAGGTAAATGCTACTGGCATATATTTTTTTATATATTTCAGTGATAATGAATTTGGTAGAGTAGGTGGGGATATACCTGAAATTTTTATTTTATTCTGAAAATTGAAAAAAATAGGTCAGCAGATCTATAAAATGACAAATTAAAGAACCCTTGCCTTCCTGCTTTTCATGTATAACATAGGCAATCAAACCAATGTGGCATCCAATAATAAACAGTCCGATTACTCAGAGATTATATAAAGAGGAAACCACCATTAATATGTGATGATTTTAAAAGCTTTTATGTGCACCATAAGTTGATGATTATAGAATGACATCTATAAATGTTTATTTTGCTGACAGAGACAAAAGCTATGAGAGTAGATAGAAGTTGATGACTGTAGAATGACATCTATAAATATTTGTTTTGCTGACAGAGACAAAAGCCATGAGAGAGATAGAAGTTGATGACTGTAGAATGACATCTATAAATATTTATTTTGCTGACAGAGACAAAAGCCATGAGAGTAGATAGAAGTTGATGACTGTAGAATGACATCTATAAATATTTATTTTGCTGACAGAGACAAAAGCCATGAGAGTAGATAGAAGTTGATGACTGTAGAATGACATCTATAAATGTTTATTTTGCTGACAGAGACAAAAGCTATGAGAGTAGATAGAAGTTGATGACTGTAGAATGACATCTATAAATATTTGTTTTGCTGACAGAGACAAAAGCTATGAGAGTAGATAGAAGTTGATGACTGTAGAATGACATCTATAAATGTTTATTTTGCTGACAGAGACAAAAGCTATGAGAGTAGATAGAAGTTGATGACTGTAGAATGACATCTATAAATATTTGTTTTGCTGACAGAGACAAAAGCTATGAGAGTAGATAGAAGTTGATGACTGTAGAATGACATCTATAAATATTTGTTTTGCTGACAGAGACAAAAGCTATGAGAGTAGATAGAAGTTGATGACTGTAGAATGACATCTATAAATATTTATTTTGCTGACAGAGACAAAAGCTATGAGAGTAGATAGAAGTTGATGACTGTAGAATGACATCTATAAATATTTATTTTGCTGACAGAGACAAAAGCTATGAGAGTAGATAGAAGTTGATGACTGTAGAATGACATCTATAAATATTTGTTTTGCTGACAGAGACAAAAGCCATGAGAGTAGATAGAAGTTGATGACTGTAGAATGACATCTATAAATATTTGTTTTGCTGACAGAGACAAAAGCTATGAGAGTAGATAGAAGTTGATGACTGTAGAATGACATCTATAAATATTTGTTTTGCTGACAGAGACAAAAGCCATGAGAGTAGATAGAAGTTGATGACTGTAGAATGACATCTATAAATATTTGTTTTGCTGACAGAGACAAAAGCCATGAGAGTAGATAGAAGTTGATGACTGTAGAATGACATCTATAAATATTTATTTTGCTGACAGAGACAAAAGCCATGGGAGTAGATAGAAGTTGATGACTGTAGAATGACATCTATAAATGTTTATTTTGCTGACAGAGACAAAAGCCATGAGAGTAGATAGAAGTTGCTGGTGATATAGAATACCATTCCATTATTCGTTTGAATTACACATAATTGAGCTCACAATACAAAACTTGCCTTTTGGTCTTTGGCAGATCCGTCTAATAAGCAATCAAATAAAATCTCCTGATTTTTATAAATTCTTAACTTGTCTTCTTTTTTGGTGATTTTGTCTACTATTGGAGTAACTGTCCCGACTTATCTCCCATGACTGAAAGATTAGAATTGTTATCTACCCTGTCTGAAAATGATTGGAGTTCTTGTATCCACTAAGCTCAACTGTTTGAAAGATTTCTGGTGTCACCACTGATCTCCCTGACTGTATGACATGACAATGGAGAGAGGAATGAGCTACAGTATTTATTTTTATCTTTCAGTATTCGTTACACGTATATGACACACTAATGAAGGCAGGAAAAGATTATGGAATAAGAAATGCTGGATATTATGCAATGAGGAAGTTAAGGATTGAAAAATTCTTTGCTTTCTGGGGACAAGATCTTACTACAGATGATACGCCTTATGAATGTGGCCGAGATTTCAGAGTTAAGTTAGATGTAAGTAGCTTGAGTAAGGGACTAGTGATGGAGTAACAGTAGGGGAGGGAAAGGGAAATTCTTTGCTTTCTGGGGACAAGATCTAAATACAGATGATATGCCTTATTAATATGGCCGAAATTTCAGAGTTAAGTTGAATGTAGAACTGTACAGTTTGCTTATAAATGATCTAGTGACCTGAAGCAATTTTGAAACGTGACCTTACGATTCCCCAAAAGAAAAACATACAATTTCACTATAGCAAGGGTAATTAACTGCCTCAAAGAAAATAACTCTTGACAACTATAATAAATGACCTACTTTGGATTTTTATTTCAGAAAGGTGATTTCATAGGGAGAGATGCCTTGTTAAAACAGAAAGAAAATGGAATTAGTCAGAAGTTTGTTCAGTTCTTGTTAAAAGACTTTGATACAGAAAAGGATGTGTGGCCATGGGGTGGTGAACCAATCTATCGTAACGGCAAGTTTGCTGGTACTGTTACCTCCAGTGCATATGGCCCAACATTAGACAAGATGATATGTCTTGGCTTTGTGAGAGACTATGATGAAAATGATAACAGAATAGTTCATAAAAATATTAACAGATTTATAATGGACAAAGATGCCACCTATGAAGTGGTTGTAGGAGGACAAAGATTTCAAGCTGAAGCCAGACTTTATACTACAAAGGAGGCGTATACTACATCTGATCCTGTGTTTATTCCTGTTCCTAAGTAGGACATAGCCAAAGTAAACTGTCCAATCAATTATTCTATCTTGGTCCAAAGAGATGATGAAGACATAAAAAACTTATCACTTGAAAGTGAATTTTTAACATTGTAATCAGTAGGAGGTGTTTATTTTGATAGTGAGACATATGTAGGGCTGTATCCAGTATAAATATACAGATTTATTTAACATAATTTAAAGCACCATTAGCTATGATTTCCACAGTACCAATTGAAAAAATAAAAGTATGTTTCTGTTTCTGTCAAAATAAGCTCAAACAACTCGCTCTTATATCATTGTCGTGCAAGACAATAATTCAACATTTTTAGGATCCATATGCATGCAACCTTAAATGATCTCACGATCGATTGTTCACGTGCTCAGAAATTCAGTTATTGATAAGGATGTTTAGCTGAAAAATGAAAGTAAGGAACCAATTTTGTTTTAAATGATTCAGGGTGTAAAAACATCATTCTTATAGGGTGTACAGGTAAAATGATGATATTCATTCATTTTTTTTAATTTATGATATGAATACTGCTATAAGGCATTGCAACATTAAAGTTCCATTTACTAAGACAGTTATTTGTATAAGAGTTTTATATTTTCTATGTTCTTATTTGTACTACTATTTCGTGAATGTTGTATGTCTGTTACTGTTACTCAGATAAGAGAGATTAAAAAAAAAACTTAAAAAAAAATTTTAAGTAGCGTTTTTAAAATGCAGATATATGCTGTTCTATGTATAAGCTTTCTTGTAGATACAGTGATCTCCATCAATAGGAAGATTGTTGAAAGAATACAATATTCTGTTTCATAGGAAATTCAGACTAACTTGAGGTTAAATGATAGTCACTGAAAGTGTTCCACAAACTTTGTTATCATTAAAGAACAAGACCATTATTTTTGCAGTACCAGCTCTTAGAAATTAAGCCCTCATGTACAAAAATTACATAGGTGGAAATCAATTAAACTGTAACAAAGCCTTAAAAAATTCAAATAAGAATGTTAAATTCATTCTCTGGCCTTAATACACTGTAGTAGACATCATGGAGATTCTAAAAGTATTGTACTCAAGTTCTCTTAACTTAAACTACATCATGAAGGTTCTAAAAGTATTGTACTCAAGTTCTCTTAACTTAAACTACATCATGAAGGTTCTAAAAGTATTGTACTCAAGTTTCTGACTTAAACTACATCATGAAGGTTCTAAAAGTATTGTACTCAAGTTCTCTGACTTAAACTACATCATGAAGGTTCTAAAAGTATTGTACTCAAGTTCTCTGACTTAAACTAATACTATGTAGCCAAAATGAGATTTTTTTATATCCTTTTTTGGACATATTTGGGGCTAAATATAGACATTACTACTCCTCTTTTAAAAGCAATTTAAGCAGCAGAATCAATGTGATTTTAAAACATAATTTACTTATGTAAACAACAATCTTGATTGTGCAAATTGAAATTAAAAAAAAATATAGCTTAATATCAGCAAAATAAGACCAAACCAAAATATTTTTTGAATTTTATTCAAATTGATCAGCATTCTTTGTTATTTATTGTTGAATTTCAGTGAAACATAAATGGTAATGAATTAATCATAGACTAAATCAGATAAATGTTTTGATAATTCTGAATAAATCAGATTAATGTTCTGATTAATCGGACCTAATCATATAAATGTACTGATTACTCTGAATAAAGCAAATAATTGTTCTGATTAATCATAGAACAAATCAGATAAACATTCTGATTAATCATAGAACAAATCAGATAAACATTCTGAATAATCATAGAACAAATCAGATAAATGTTCTGATATAATTTGTGCACTGTAGAAATGTTTATCATGTGATTTTAAAAGAATGATGTGTTGTTTAAAATGAATGTTTACTCCAGTTTGTATTGTTTGTTATAATGAATATAAATATAAAGAAAAAATAAAACATTTTTTTGCTTTTTTAATTTCATATATAACCTTTGAGTTGAGATTTGAAAACTGTGTTATTTAGGCCTTTTTGGATTGAAATTTGTCAAATGAGCTCAAAATAGAAAACTGTTCTTCAAGACTTTTGTGGGTAAACATTTATCAATTACTGTTGCCCACATTATAATTTATAATAGCCTACAACGAGTTGCATCTGATGTCAGTGGATACAACATTAAGAAAAATTATACTTCTTTTACTTTTTATAACTAATGCTTTAATCTGAACTAGTATACATAATTGTTTAGGGGCCAGCTGAAGCCCTTCTCTTGGTGTGGAATTTTATAGCTGCATTGGTGACCCATTGGTGGCCATGGGCTGTTATTTGATCCGGTTGTTGTCTCTTTGACACATTCCCCATTTCCATTCTATATTCTACTTGTTGTTTATGGTTTGCTGTCATCATATATGTGTAATCATATTTAAAGATAGAACTTAATATAAGTTGCAACAACTTGTATCCAATCCTATTGCTTAATTAATTGCAATGTAATATCACTAAAAATATCTTGATGTGTCCCATGCTCATCTAAATATTGGTATTTCTTTATTTTGTCAGCAAGATTATTACAGTAATTAAGATATTTCTTGGCCTGTTGTAGTCTGATTTGTTTATATCACCCTGCATCTGTGTAAATCTTCAGTGCACACATGTTAATTGTTAACGACATCTCGTAAAGAATTTCCTCCAAATGGTGCTAGTACTGTGTTGAACGTCTTGTGAGGTGTACGGTTTTGCTTTGTGTTGAAGGCCATCCAGTGACGATAAGGTTAAAAACAGTCATCAAAGCACTGTTCCTTTGAAAAGATTGTTGTCAAGCATGTGAACAGATTTTTTTAATCTTTTACAGATGCCTGCAAACAAATTATCAGTATTATATAGGACCATAGTATAAAGGAATTTAGATTTAAATCATGAAAAAATTCTTGACACTCAACCATGCCAATTTTGAAAATATATGCTTTACTGGTTGGTTTATTTCATACAACAACAATTTCAATGTAGACCATTTCACGTACAACAGATGTCTTAGAATAAAAAATCCATTATTCTAAAAATTTTCTGTTCATTGCATGTAATTAAATTTGATGAAAAAAAAATCAATAAAACGAATTCCACCATTATACATGTAGTCTTCATTTAATGGTCAGGTGGGTAAACAGATAAAAAAGTCACTAATATAGTAGGAAACAAAGTCTCATTTGGTAGGAAAAAAAGTCACACATTTGGTAGGAAAAAAAGTCAAACATTTGGTAAATGTATGGAAAAAAATCACAAATTATGTCCATTTTTGTACAAATGTTTAGTAGTATTTCATTTCTTTTCTCTTAATTATTTTAAAGTTATACAGGCCGTTTAAAGGTAAATAAATGACATATTATTACAATGGAGAATATTCTTTAAGGATTTGTGTGCTATATTCTGTCAAGACAGTAGATGATGGATAGGAAATGAAGCCAATTAGATAATAACGGTCTGTTGAATTGTTTTTTCATGGACAACATTTTGTTTATTATCTTGGAAAATTGATTAAATTACCTCTGTATTCTAAAATTAGAAGATGTTGAAATATTCTGAAAATGAGTTGTCAGTGTAAATTTAAATGTTTATTCTTGACTTGACTGTAGTAGTTCATTTTCTTTCAATATTTATATTAACACTGACCACTCATCTTCAGGAAACTGATTGAGGGGTCATTGGGTGACCCATTTCTGGCACATATTCAACATAATACTTCGTATTCCAAATTTCATGCCCTGGTAAAACCACTTTGAACTGACTTTTTGTTTGATTTGTACTCGTCCTGAATATGCATGAACTATCTGCCCCTGGATCTTAAGCTCTCGTCCTGAATATGCATGAACTATCTGCCCCTGGATCTTAAGATCTCGTCCTGAATATGCATGAACTATCTGCCCCTGGATCTTAAGCTCTCGTCCTGAATATGCATGAACTATCTGCCCCTGGATCTTAAGCTCTCGTCCTGAATATGCATGAACTATCTGCCCCTGGATCTTAAGCTATACAAAAATCAATCCTACAGCAACAAGATAGACTTCCAAATCATTGCACGAGTTTCCATGCACTTACCAAGTTCTTCAACCTGGGACATAATATGTTAGTATAATAGTCCCAGCTTAACTCATCTGATAAACAAATAATTAATATTACCAGTTCTAGTTGGATGACTATCCATGCTATTGAAACTGCACGTCTTTTAAAAGTATTGTATAACATCCTGTTTTAATGTTATGTTTTGCTGTAGTTAAGGCCAGTTTCTCTGTCACGATTTGTTTCATAAAATGTTTAAACGTACCGTTAGTGGCAAGGAACTCGGGTGCAAACATTAGTAGGTGTGCATTTAGTAGTAAAGCACATTAATACTTCAATAAATCCGTTTCCCGACTGTAATTTAAAACAATCAATTTTTTCTTCGATTGTGACATCATCAAATGAGACTTAATTATCACCGGATTTGTACTTGCACGAGCACTACAACGGGTGTCACATGTGGAGAAGGAACTACCTACCCTCCCGGAGCACCTGAGTTCACCCACAGTTTTTGGTGGGGTTCATGTTGCTCATTCTAGTTTTCTATGTAGTGTTTTGTGGACTTGTTCATTTTTCTTTGTTTGTTTTTTCCCATGGTTTTCAGTTTTTCCTTGACTTATGGGTTTTTTTCCCATGGTTTTCAGTTTTTCCTTGACTTATGGATTTTTCCCATGGTTTTCAGATTTTCCTTGACATGGGTTTTTTCCCATGGTTTTCAGATTTTCCTTGACATGGGTTTTTTCCCATGGTTTTCAGATTTTCCTGACTTACGGGTTTTTACCCATGGTTTTCAGTTTTTCCTTGATTTAAGGGATTTTCCAATGGTTTTCAGATTTTCCTTGACACGAGTTTTTTCCCATGGTTTTCAGTTTTTCCTCGACTTATGGGTTTTTCCCATGGGTTTCAGATTTTCCTTGGTTTATGGGTTTTTTCCCATGGTTTTCAGTTTTTCCCTGACTTATGGGCTTTTTTCCCATGGTTTTCAGATTTTCCTTGACTTGTGGGTTTTTCCTATTGTTTTCAGTTGTTATACGACCGCAAAAATTGAAAATTTTTTGGTCGTATATTGGTATGACGTTGGCGTCGTCGTCGTCGTCGTCGTCGTCGTCGTCGTCTGGCGTCGTCCGGCGTCGTCCGAAGACACATTGGTTTTCGCACTCTAACTTTAGTTTAAGTGAATGGATCTCTATGAAATTTTACCATAAGGTTCAATACCACAAAAGGAAGGTTGGGATTGATTTTGTGGGTTATGGTACTAACAGTTAAGGAATTAGGGGCCAAAAAGGGGCCAAAAATAAGCATTTTTGTAACTTCCAGACATAACTTGTGTGTTAGTGTATGGATCTCTCTGACATTGTACCACAAGGTTCCATATCACACAGGGAATGCTGGGATTAAATTTGGGGGTAATTGCCTCAAAATATTAGGAATTAGGGGCCAAAAAAGGGGCAAAAAACAAGCATTTTTTTAGTTTCATGACAATAACTTGTGTGTAAGTGTATGGATCTTTCTGAAATTGTACTACAAGGTTCCATATCACAAAGGGAAAGCTGGAATTGAGTTTGGGGGTAATTGCCCAAAACATTTAGGAATAAGGGGCCAAAAAGGGGCCAAAAATAAGCATTTTTCTTGTTTCCAGACAATAACTTGTATTCAAGTTAATGGATCTCTCTGAAATTGTACCACAAGGTTCCATATCACACAGGGAATGCTGGGATTGATTTTGGGGGTAATTGCCCAAAATGTTTAGGAATAAGGGGCCAAAAAGGGGCCAAAAATAAGCATTTTTCTAGTTTCCAGACAATAACTTGTGTTCAAGTGTATGGATCTCTCTGAAATTGTACTGCAAGGTACCATACCACAAAGGGAAAGCTGGGATTGAGTTTGGGGGTGATGAATCATAAGGGGTTCAAAAAATTTGGGGGGGGGATTTTTTTTTTTTTCCTTTTTTTTTTCTTTTAAAATTTTCCATTTTAAGTTGGTTATTTCTGTTTTATATTTAAAAGCAAATAATAACGATATGGTAGGAGATACACACCAAACAGGATGTGTAAATTATTATAAAATAAGTATTGTGCAATAGCAAGAAATTTTCAATTGCACAGTATTGCACAATAGCAAGAAATCTTCAATTGCACAGTATTGCGCAATAGTAAGAAATATCCAATAGCACAATATTGCGCAATAGCAAGAAATTGTCAATTGTACAGTATTGCGCAATAGCAAGAAATATTCAATTGCACAGTATTGTACAAAAGAAGATACTTCGTATAAATTGCTTATTTCTTGACCAATTTCAATGGGGTTTTATTCTTGAATTCTTGGGGTTCTTTAATATGCTGATTCTAACCGTGTATTAAGTTTTTGGATTTTGGGCCCCGTTTTTAAATTGGTCCACATTGAGGTCCAAAAGGTCCAAAATTAAACTTTGTTTGATTTCATCAAAAATTGAATTATTGGGGTTCTTTGATATGCCAAATCTAACCGTGTATTTAGATTCTTAATTTTTGGTTCTGTTTTCAAATTGGTCTACATTAAGGTCCAAAGGGTCCAAAATTAAACTTAGTTTGATTTTAACAAAAATTGAATTCTTAGGATTCTTTGATATGCTGAATCTAAACATGTATTTAGATTTTTGATTATGGGCCCAGTTTTCAAGTTGGTCCAAATCGGGGTCCAAAATTAAACTTTGTTTGATTTCAACAAAAATTGAATATATGGGGTTCTTTGATATGCTGAATCTAACCATGTATTTAGATTTTTGATTTTTGGGCCCCATTATCAACTTAGTCCACATTGAGGTCAAAAGGGTCCAAAATTAAACTTTGTTTGATTTCATCAAAAATTGAATTCTTGGGGTTCTTTGATATGCTGAATCTAACCATGTATTTAGATTTTGGATATTGGACCATAATAGTTG